CGCCAGGGCCTGCTAGGCGACGGGGCCTGCTAGGTGACGGGGTCGGCTAGGAGGCGGGGCCATCTGGGCGACGAGACCGTCGAGGCGACAGGGCCGGCTAGGAGGCGGGGTCGGCTAGGAGGCGGGGCCGGCTGGGCTACGGGGCCGGCTAGGCGACGGGGCTGGTCGAGCGGCGGGGCCAGCTAGGAGGCGGGGCCGGCTAGGCGACGGGGCGGGCTGGGCTACGGGGCCAGCTAGGCGACAGGGCCGGCACGTGCGGGAGGGGAACGGGGCGGCTAGGACCTAGGGCGGAAGCGCTAGTGGGCGGGGGGGACCTAACCTACTCATGATACCATATCAAAGTGAAAGAATGGCTAGAAACAAGGCATACAAGGGAATATAACCTAATGGGTTGTACTCCCTAAGGCACAACCCTATATAGTATACAAAAACATACAATATATGTTTGACACATATCACAAGTCTTTTGAGTGGCGACCAACCAACCAGCCACAGCCAAATAATAGGACAAGCTCAGCAACACAACCCCACTTGTCATTTTTGTCGAGAGACCCGCTGGGGTTACCCTTGAGAAGATCCTCGGAGAAGGGCCACAGGTGCAGAACCTGGGGGTCTATGGGCGCACTGACCCGCTATTAACAAGCCCTTTTAACTCAGTGGTTCGTGGGTGAGTTCTGACAATTTTTGCAAGGAGAGGGGAGGGGACCAGCAACACGCTCACAATATCAGCAAAACCTGCAGGCCGATGAGAAAGTGCCCTGGCAAAGGGAAAGCTAGCTGTGTCACCACCAGGAGAACGGTACCTGGAAAGCCAGCCAATGCCCCTTCGTCTGATCCAGGCGTGTAGGACTACGCTCGCACGGAACAGACCCTGCAGGCCAAGGAGAAACTTCCCTAGCAGAGGGCAAGCTAGCTACGTCACCAGGCAGCTAAGCCAACACGCTTAACAGGGAGATTGCTCTCACTAGGGGAACTGTCTGTCAACATGTATATTATATATGTATAAATGTGTATAGGCTAGGTAGGTGTACTGCATATCCTGGATCCTACTGTAGATGGTACAACCCCCTTCTTTTATCCCTCTCTCTTCTAGTCCATCTCTCTTCTCTCTCGACATTTTCTCCTACCCTAAAACCTCTCGCTACTTTCCTATGCCTAGCTCCTAACCTAGCTTCTTGATATGGTATCAGAGTGGGTCCTTCTGCTCGGGCTTGCTCATCACGCTTCCGCAACGTTCGCTCCTCCCTCCTGTCCTTTCCACACCGCCACTACGGCCATGTCGTGCTGCCGTGGCAGCGTCAACGCGCCAGCGGCCAGCGCCCGGTCTTAGCGCTGGCCAGCACGCCCGGTCTTAGCGCTGGCCAGCACGCCCGGTCTTAGCGCTGGCCAGCACGCCCGCATGCAGCCAGCGCGCCACACGGGGCGGCACGCTCCCTAGCTCCGCTGTAGAAGCCCCTCCCCCTTCCCCTGCGTCCCCTCTTCCTCGCCGCAGCTGACGGCTAACTCGCGCGGGCCTTCCCCACCGTCGCGGAGTCAGGCCACGCTGCCGAGTGCTGCGAGCTCCGCCGCCGCTGTCATCGAAGCCGCCGTCGCCGCTGCAGCTGGTGTCGCTGGCCTCGCCGCTGCACGCCGCCGCTGTCGTCGCTGCCGCCGTCGCCGTCGTTGCAGCCGCTGCCCTCGCTGCTGACGTTGCCGCCTCGCACGCCGAGGGGTTGACCATACTGGAGAAGCCGTCGTTGCTGCTGAGTATGGGGGTGCTAGGCTTAGGGGGTGTGTGGCTTAGTGTGCTATGTGCGTGGTGTGTTTTCTTTTGACCTGCATTACTACTAAAACCAGTGGACAGGCTAGTAGTACTGCCCTGGTCTATTCTATGCGTATCGCCTACCAAGCCTAGGGGGTGTGTCAACATATATTTTTGACATATACATATATATGTGTATATGCTAGGTATGTGAACTGCATATCTTGGATCCTACTGTAGAGGGTACAACCCCCTTCTTGTATCCCTCTCTCTTCTAGTCCATCTCTCTTCTCTCTCGGCATTTTCTCCTAGCCTAATACCTCTCGCTACTTTCCTATGCCTAGCTCATAACCTAGCTTCTTGATACTGTCATCTTGAGAGGGATTGCCATCTGAAGTGCACAAGTCTTCACCATCAGTAGAGGACTCCTCCAGCGTCAGCCAGCCATAGGCCAGCCATCTGGCATCAAAGGACTCCTCCTGTGTTGCCAGCCATCCATAGCTCCAAAGAGAGGCTGTCATCAAGAAAGGGATTGTCATCAAGAGTGGGATTGTCATCTGAATGGAACAAGTCTTCATCATCAGTAGAGGAGCCCTCTTGAACTGCCAACCAGCCATGGCTCCAAAGAGAGAATGTCATCAGGATAGGGATTGTTCTCCTAAGGGTCTAGGTCTTCATCATCAGTGCAGGCATCCACACCATCAGTGCAGGCATCCATATCATCAGTGCAGGCATACACATCATCAATGCAGGCATACACATCATCAATGCAGGCATCCTTATCATCAGTACCAAGGTGAAAAAAAACGGCAGAATTTTTCACCAAAAAAAAAAAAAAAAAAAAAAAAAAACCTGCAAGATGCTTGGATTTGCCATTTCGCTTGCCGAAACGCGCAGATCTGACATTTCAACCCTCAAAATGTGCGGGAACTCGCATTTTGGCGAACGAAATACTAGGATATTTGGCATTTCGCCCGCTGAAATCCGCGGATATGACATTTCGTCCGCCGAGATGCTGGGATCTCGCATTTCGTGGTGTAAAATGCGCGGATCTAGCAAACGTTTAGGCTTTCTTAAAAAAAAAAAAAAAAAAAAACAAAAAAAAAAAAACAACAACAACAACAAACAAACAAACAAACACGAAATGTTCTATTAAAAAAACAGTGTTCGTTGTCCCAAATGACCGAAAGAAACGGACCGTACAGAACGGACCGTAATTTTCAGAAACTGTATTTTTGACTCTTGATCAGTCTAGACATCCTCCTGCAGTGCCAGCCATGCACAGGCAGCCATGGCAGATGTTTCGAAGAACTCATCTTCCTCCCACATCATGAAAACCTGCAGCATGATGACACCTATCACTACGGCAGCTTGTGCAGCATTCTGGCCCGGTGCTGGAAAACGTCGGATCTCTATAGCGGTCATAAAGCGGTTAAAGGTATCGTCCATATTTGCCATACCTGAAGCATGGTTCTTCTCCATGGTTTCGGCTATCAACCTCACTCAATGCATCGTCTCTTCCTCCCGCTGTCGTTGACTAGCCTCTGCTGGTCTAGGCCTTGATTGCCTTCCTGCCATTTCGAATTGACAGGAGGAAAATAACAAGAGCGAACGGAATGGTCATGACTAGACACGCTTACGATGATAAACTGAATTCCGCAAAAGGTCAACGACATTGAGAATATATGATATACTAGGCATGTGTGGAATCTATGTATATGTAAAACAAGCATTACCTTGCAGTCCAATCGGGTCCGCTAGCAGGAGGAACGGACGCACCGGTGGAATACCTACAGTAGTCCGTGGGTCTTCACCGCGCAGCTCAAACTCATCGCAGCTCCTTCCACTAGCCATTTCGTCGCTCGAACTCACTGCAGTTGGTCATTTCCGTTTCCCATTGTGGTTGTTGTTTCGACGAGCGCTCGTCACCCCTTCCACTACGCGTAAGGGAGCATGGCTACTACTTTCCTCGGAAACCAACCTTTTGCCCTTCGACGCATGCTTCCCTTTAGGAGCCATAATAGACGCTCGAAATTGGAGATAAGAGCTCTCTGAAGTGGAACTGTCAGGCACAAAACCCAACCCTAAAACCTGACTGCAGGCCAGGTGGGCCCCGCCAACCACACGCCCGTTGACGAGGTCACGCCGGCCGCCGCCGCCCCCGCGTTGACTGCGCAGCAGCTGCAGGCGCTGCTGGCTCTGTTACACCAGCAGAAAACTGTTACTACAATCGGAACTTCATCCGACAATATAACTGCTACGACTAGTTTCGCCAAGAAAAAGGAAATGCCAACGCCTCCTCACGCGGCCAAGCTTCCGCGCGCCGACAACCAGCCCCCGGCACCAGTTCCCGCGCCCGCCAACGACATCGACGACAGCAAAGACTCCGAAAATGAAGATGGTGAGGTTCCTACCAACCTTGCTCGCCATCGCATTCTCGCCCCCGCTTCTCCCCTTCCCCCCCTTGGATCCACGCCCGGAGCAACTACCTTCGTGCGCAAGGGCTTGCGGGACCAAGCCGAAGTCTTCACTGCTATTCAAGCCCACCTGTAGCATATTGACTACGAGCTGCAGCACTACAATGTGACCGCCGCGCTCAACAACATGAAACACATCGAATTGCTTATTCATAAGCGTTTCGAGGTGCTTTTTGTGGCGGACGAGGCTGGTTTCGAGGCCGCTGATCGCTTCCAGCTCTACCAGTCCAAGAGCGTGCTCACGTCCCGCTCGTACCAGCTTGCGGTAGCCGATGTAGCTGCCCTCAAACGTGCGTGAGCCACCTATCCCCGCGGCGGTCGTCTCGGTGGTCGTGACAGTGACATGGAGCTCAAAGGCTCCCCTCCCCTCACGTGTTAGCAGCCGCGCTTCAAGGGAGTGTGTTTCTGCTGTGGCCAGCTGGGCCACATGGCAAATGCTTGCCCCATGGGCGGGCGTGGAGGACAAGGTCCCACACCGGTGGTGTGAGCGGCGTGGTAGGGCGGTGCCCTTTGCCAATATGCAAGGAGCATATTGGGCTGCATCGGGGGTGCATGGCAAGCCTTAGATTAAGGCCATGGTTCTAGTGGACTAAAGTAGCCCTAAGGGCAGAGAAGGTCGTGAGCCTATGATCTTGTGGAATTCCATGCATGGAACTTTGTATGCCGCCATGGCACATTGAGTAAAGTGGAAAAAGAAGAAGAAGAAGAAGAAAAAAAACACGGCATGAGAGTTCAGCTATGGTGCGTGGGAAAACAAGACCAAGGCACGCAACCACCCTCTTGCACGAGGAGGCCGATGGCCCACAAACAGTATGCAAAAAAAAAAAAAAAAAAAAGGGGCGGGGGGAGGGCAATAGCCACGAGGCCAAGGTATGGCTTCCAACAAGGCCAACAAGGAAAGGAGAAGGAATGGCCAAAATGACGAGGGCTCATACAAGAGCAAAAAAGAGAGAGAAAGAGAGAGAGAGAGAGAGAGAGAGAGAGAGAGAGAGAGAGAGAGAGAGAGAGAGAGAGAGAGAGAGAGAGAGAGAGGGAGAGAGAGAGAGAGAGAGAGAGAGAGAGAGAGAGAGAGAGAGAGAGGGAGAGGAAGAGAGGAAAAGAAAGAGAGATAGGGAGAGGGATAAAGAAATAAAAGGTTTAAGGTCCAAGAGAGAAAAGACAGAGCAAGAGAGAGAGAGAGAGAGAGAGAGAGAGAGAGAGAGAGAGAGAGAGAGAGAGAGAGAGAGAGAGAGAGAGAGAGAGAGAGAGAGAGAGCGAGAGAGAGAGAGAGAGAGCGAGAGAGAGAGAGAGTGAGAGAGGGAGAGAGCAAGAGAGAGAGAGAGAGAGAGAGAGAGAGAGAGAGAGAGAGAGAGAGAGCGATAGAGAGAGAGAGGGAGAGAGAGAGAGAGAGAGAGAGAGAGAGAGAGAGAGAGAGAGAAAGAGAGAGAGATGGAGAGAGCGAGAGAGTGAGAGAGAGAGAGAGAGAGAGAGAGAGAGAGAGAGAGAGAGAGAGAGAGAGAGAGAGAGAGAGAGAGAGAGAGAGAGAGAGAGAAAGAGAGAGAGAAAGAACTGGTGGTGCTCATGGTGCGATAGCAGCTTCATCCTATCCATCATCACGAAAGGGTATTGTTTGCCGTGGAAGAACGCTGTACCGCACGCAGTCGAGGACCCCAACCACGCTGGAGTCCGCATACACCTGGATTTTACTCGTGAGGCAATTCGCGACCTCGTCACCACGGGTGCCGCTGTCATGGTCCCTACTAGGGATGCACTACTGTGTGTCAGCCCACTCAACGTGGTTGAGCAGCGTAACAAGTGTTGCCTTATTCTCGACTTGCGCAAAGTCAACACCTACCTCGACATCCCAAAATTCAAGTACGAAGGCTTAAATCGGGTTGCCGAGCTCATTCGTTCAGGCGATTGGATGTTCTCCATGGACTTGAAATCCGGCTACCACCACGTCGAGATCCACGCCTCTTGCGGGAAGTTCCTGGGATTCCAGTTTGAAGGACATTATTTTTCCTTCTGCTCGCTCCCATTTGGGCTCGACCATTTTAATGGCAACTCGTTCCACCTCAATCACCGGTATGATGCCATCATCCACGTCGATGCAAGCGCACACAGCTGGGGCACCACCCTGACACAACTACCCGGGACGTCCCTTGAAGCCAGTGCCCGCATGCCCGAGGAACTCCTGCCCACCTCCAGCATGCGTCGCGAGCTCGAAGGTGTCTTATGTGCCCTTCAAACATTCACCCTCCACGTCCTCAAGTGCCATGTGCTCGTTCGCATGGACAACCAGGGGGTGGTATTCATTCTACGCAAAGGAGGATCACGCCAGCCGCCGCTCACGCTGCTATGTCAAGCAATCATTCGTCTCTGCCTCGAGCATCAGACATGGTTGGTCGTCGAATGGATTCCCAGAGAGCTGAAGGCGCACGCTGACGAGCTCTCAAAGATCCAAGACCATGACGACTACTCCCTCCAAGCCCCTTGGTTTCGGCTCTTGGATCGCCGGTTGGATCCACATTCTATCGATCTTTTTGCAAATGTGCACAATGCTCAGCTACGAAGGTTTTGCTCCAAGATTCCCCACCCAGCAGCCACAGCGCTCAACGCATTTTCATTCAGTTGGGAGCACGAGTGTGGCTTTGCCGTTCCACCTCCCAATCAAATCTCAGCCACCTTTCGACACGCACAACGCACGCGTGCAGAGCTGGCCCTAGTTATTCCCGAGTGGCCTGGAGCGCCATGGTGGCCACTGCTCCAACCATCGCTTGACGCCTGGGCACCAGAAGTCAAAACTTACATCCGCCTCACCCATTGCAGCCAATGTCTCCGACCTGGCACGCACTCCGTTGCTTTCGCCGGCCAAGGCTTTCCTCCTAATCAAATGATTGCATTGCATTGATAATGATAATTATTCTATATGAATGTATCCTTTCAGGAATTTTGTCGAAGCTGTAGACACAACTACTCCACATAATTGCACACGTCCGCACCCCTTCCACCATCCGCACATATGAGCCATACTGGTTCAAATTTTGCTCATTCTGCACGAAGGTCAAGTTGAGTCATCTGCTTGCGATGTTACCTTTGCACTTTACCTCTTCCATGTCTTGAATCAACAAGCCACATCATCCGCCATATCGTTCACATGCTCCGCCGTCGCCTTTCCAGACCGGATGACTAGGGAGCCATCCCCTACGGATGGCCCGTTCACGCTACAAGTACGTGAATTTGCCAAGCGTCATGGCTCACGCCCCACCCGGAACAAGGAACCCCTATCGCTTCACCAAGTGCAAGCCATGGCCCGCCCCTTCCTCGAGTCCACCAGGCTGGCCGAGTACCAGAAAAGGACTCATCTCGATACTCATGTTCGCTGCATTCCTGCGCTACTCTGACACGGTCAGCCTTCAGTGGAATGAGATACAATTCGAGCCTGAAGCAATGTGGTTGTTAATTCCCCACTCCAAGATCGACCAGGAAAGTCAGGGCACATGGATCCCAGTTGCCACCACCGCCGGACCCTACTGCCCTGTGCATTGCACGCGACAGTTTCTACTCCTCGCAGGTCACACCGCCACCCCATGCGGACCATTGATCCGAGTCTTTGGAAACAACAAGAAGGCAACTCCACAAGACAACGCGCCTTCCTACACCACCATCCGGAACTGGTGTCTCGAAGCCTTTACTAGGGCCGGCCTCGACTCCCCCTACCTCGGTACACACTCCTTCTGCAAAGGCGCAGCGACCGCAGCAGCCAGCTTGGGAATCTCCGACACGCTGTTCAAGCGACTCGGCCACTGGCACAGCGACAACGCCAAAGAGCTCTATGTCACTATCGCACAAGACCAACTCCTTCAGGCCTCTATGAAACTCCAAGACGCAACCACCACCCCCACACTCAATCAGCACCAGCTATCTATCGAACGACACCGCCGACCCATCCTGCACATGTCTCAGAAGACCCATATAAAATAAAGCACGCTGCCTTATAAGAGGACCCAAGCAAGCTTTCACAATATGTAGTTTTTTTAAAGCATGCAACGCTTTCTAAAAAATGTGTATTGTGAGAGTGTAGCAAGGGCCAACGCAGCAAAGGCAGCGTCGAAGTGCTACTCGCCCTCTTTTGCCTACAAAAGAGGGACATGAGGCCATTTGGCCTCACCCACGTTCTTCATTTCTAGTTCCTCTAATTCTATTTTCCCGCCCACCCACCCAACTATGTGTGTACTATCATAGTTGGCCGAGGATTATGTATGTAACCCATATGAAATGAAGCACGCCCATATGAAATGAAGCACGCTGCCTTACAAGAGGACTCAAGCAAGCTTTCACAATACAGGTCATATGCCTTGTAGACGACCCCCTTTTACGCCCAGGAGTATTCTATATGCATTTTATCCTTAAGGGCCACTCCTTGTACGCAAAGTGTACCCGTCTCAACTGAACAGTGGATTAGACAGTCAATTCGGCTTATCCAAGGCCGTCCACTCAGTTTGCTCTTGTGTTTTCAGAGCGACCACACCTAGTGGTCGGCGAGCCTCTAAAAATCCAGGTGTGTCAAGCTCGCCAACCAATGTCGATGAAAAAATCCACATGATGCGCTAGATACGACTAGCTCGCTAACGGTCCAGTAGAATTACGCCAGCAACGCCAACGGCATCCGTCGGCGTTGCCCCAGGAAAATCCGTCCACCCACAGCCAATACGAATGCGCCAAGGAAGCAACAGAGGGGTCCCAACATCGTTCCCCCCGCCAACAGTGCAGACACCCCGGGGTTATTTATATGCCCCAAACAGCGACCTCTTCACGACACAAGGAATGAGCCCGCCACACCCACGAGGTTGTCCACATGGCACTTGTACGCCGAATTGCGCTCGCGGTCGGGCAGAAGGTTGCAAACTGCCAGTGCGTCAAGAAGAATCCGACCTTTCGGCTCAAAGACATTGATCAATGGTGCCACACCAGATACGGCCTGTGGCCGGATCGCAGCACAGTCGGCCGAGTTCTTCAAACAGAAAAGAAGTGGCGGGCCATCGGGCCCGAATGCGCCAAGTTCAAAAGGGTGCGTAACCTGCATTGGCCTTTACTTGAAGCTCGACTCAAGAGCTGGTTGAAAAGCACGAATGGTGCTGGCTTACCAGTCTCGACGGCTCTAATCCAGCAGCGCGCGATACTGCTCGCACTCGAGTGCAACGTGCCTAGCGAGTTCAAAGCTTCGGTTGGATGGGTTTAGAGAGCATTGCGCCAAATGGGATTCAAGTGGCGTAAGATGAGCGGCGAGGCGAAGTCTGCCGACGAGGGTGCCGCTCTGACCTGGCAACTACATTTCCCGAGGCTGTGCGACCAGCTTGGCGTGACCCCGGAAAACCTGTTCAACTTTGACGAGACCTGCGTCTACTATAGTCTCCTCCCCGACCACACATTCTGCATCGACCCTACCCCGGGCAAGAAGTTCTGCAAGGATCGGCTCACTGTCGCGCTGCTGGTGAATGCGGACGGCTCGAAACTTTTCAAGCCGCTCATCATTCACAAGTTCGAGCAGCCCCGTTACTTTGCAAAGTAGAAATTTGACCCTGCGAAGTACTGCTGCTTGCGCACGAACACCTCCGGATGGATGACGGCAGAGGTAAATGCCTTGCTTTCCATCGCTTGCATGCACCGTGCCGACATCTGTCCGATGCAAAATGTGGCGTGTGACAAGAATAATAATCGGCTTAAAAAACATCCATCTCGTACGCCCCGCGCATGTTTTCACGGCGTTCTTCGAGCACATTAACGAGTACTGCATGGCGGAAGGACGCCGTATCGTCGTCATGCTCGACAACGCGTCGAGTCACCTGCTCCAATCCCCTCTCGCCACGTCAGTCGACATTTGCGGGTTTCGGTCGTGCGCGCTCTCGCACGTGTGCCTCGTGTACTTGCCGCCGAACACGACCCCGTTCACTCAGCCTCTGGACCAGGGCCTCATCGCAACTCTGGAGGCACGTTACAAGGTGCAGTTACTTCAGGCAATTCTCGCACAGTGGCAGATCCCTGGCGTCACCGTCGTCGCCATTTTGAAGTGGAAGGCCGAGATGTGGCAGATGGTAACCTGGGTGTCGGATTCGTGCCTTGGCTTGGATACCGCGACCATCCAGAAGTGTTTCTGGAGGACGCAAATGCTGCCCGCCAGCTGGCAGCCGCTGCTACCTCTCCTCGGCGCCATTTCTGAAGAGCAGGAGCCCCAGCTAGAGAATGAGATGGAGCCGGTGCAGCAGATCATGAGCGCCCTGCCATTCGGCCCGGGCAATATGATTTCCGCCGCTCGCTTCGTCACTGCCGATCGTGATGACGCGGCGAGCGAGCCGAGCGGGGTGGATCCGATTAAGGTAGAGCCTATTGGCCCGGCCCAGCGGGATGCGTGGTGGGCGAACGCGCCTCCCCTCCCCCCCCCCGGCTCCGAACGACTCAGCGCGGAACCGGCGCAATCTGTCGCGCATGGCGACAGAGATGCTAATCAGTTACGCCAAGTCCATTGGCTTGGCTCCGCGCGATCCCCGAGTGCTGTTCGACATCCGCGAACCTGCGGTTATTGATCGCCTCGAGCGCGCATCCCCCCGCCTGGACACTAACAATGCCCCCGGCGCGGCGGAGGAAGTGTACCTCAGTCATGTCAGCGGAGCCACTACGGTTATGACCGGATATCCAGACGCGGTCGAGTGGATGACCTTTGGCGCGCAGCCCGCTACCTATCGCGGATACTAGGCGGTTAATTATGCAGTTCAGGTTTGGCGCGATGAACTTCCATGGCACTGTAGTTCGGAGTGGTGCAATTGTGTGCTGAGGGGCTTACAACACGCTGTCTTAGAGCGTGTATGTGGAGGCGCGAGGAGCCTTGTGCTGTGCCTATGACCTTAGCGGCGAGGGGGTTGTGCTGTGTTGCACGGAGTTGGGCAGTGTCGGTCAACATAAGCATGGTTTTCGGTCGGAGTCTATTTTCGAGTCTAGTCTAGTGTCGAGTGTTGTCTTTGTCGAATCAATTCTGTTTGTTGCTGTACTGCAGTCCATGTTTGTCAACTGCGGAGTCAATTCTGACATTCTCTTGAAATGCGGAGTTGATACACTGGTGGAGAGGCTTGCGACGTGGCGATGTTTACTCAGTCGCTGCATACGCCAGTCAAGCCGCCCATGCACAATACGCAAAAATCAACGCCCCATTTCCTGGGGAAACCCCTTAGTCCACGTTGCCCCTACCGTACGGCCAGTATTCGTTCAAAGGGAAATCTGTCGCGTCGCCCCCCGGGTGCTAATAGAATATGATTTGTACAGAGATTCTTCCCGTTGACGCCTTCTGAACCGAACAGAGGTTTTGGGGGAAAGGTACGGAGTTACGGGGCTGAGGTGGGAGAAGGCCAAATGGTCTGAGCTCCGAGGTTTGGACTAGGCTCGGATGGACCTAGCCAAGGGAACCGATTGGTTTCTTGAGTCAGCTGTCAGGCTCGGTGAATGGACAACCTCGGTCTCGTTCGGCAATGCAGCCACAAAACTCTCAAATCAGACCCCAAGGTTTCAGGCTCGGTGATGAAGCCCCGAACACTTCATCGCGAAAGTGTCACGCTCGGCATTGCAGCAGCGACGCGACGCCCGCCTGCTATGCGACGGATGAATCAGCTCTTCGGCGAACAAATTTGTTTCGCGATCAAATCTCGCGCTTATTCATCTCAACATGCACCTGGCAAGCGAAACTAGCGTCTTAGATGCCACTTGCGAAACGGTACTCCGCGGGAAATCAAAATCACTCGGTAACGTGACACCTGACGGGAGGAGCACTACTCCACACTTGTCCTGTTACAGTTGACACGAAGCAAGGACTCCCTTAGACACGAGGATGATGACCTGAGGCCGGCTACAATACGTCCTCCGGTTGTCTTACCCGTTTTATCTGATGATTTACCAGCAGACTATTACATACCCCATCAACTATGGCGGCCTGTCTTGAAGCATCCAAACCGACTGCCCTGGCTTGAGAAAGTCGGGCGTCGATGAAAGAGGTTCCGCATAATGCCGAACCCGCCGCAATCGTCAGGCGAACCGGATCCAAAACCGAGCAGCACCGATTTAAACCGGCCGTCGCGCAAGCGGTCTATGCCGAAGAAATTCTCCCGAGAAGTGAAAGACGCGTGCTGGAATAAAGCGGGCATAGTTAAGGGCCGCGATCCGGATAGATGGCGCCAGGACGGCGAGGGGAATGTAGTGTTTCGAGCGTTCGACGCTTGTGACGGCCCCTTCTGCTTCGAATTCGACCGAGTAGTACCGAGGAATAAGGTGAGCTGAGCTACCCTCAAGCGAGTGATCTGGGTCGATGGCGTCTGGACTGCGAGGGTAATGTAGTCTTTCGCGCACGTGCAAGGGCCCCTTGTGCTTCGAATTCCACCGCGTTGTTCCCCGGAATGGAGTGATCTACCCCACCCTAAAGCGAGCGATCAGGTGATTTTAGAGAATCTCTAAGTTGACTGCGGGACTGCGAGGGTAATGTAGTCTTCCGCGCATTTTATGCTTGCGGCGACCCTTCACGCCATCCCCCTTCCTCCTCAGTGGAACAGTGCACTATCAGACACCTACAACCCCAATTCCCCCCGCCCCCCTCCTCTCCCCCCTCCCTCCCTCTCCCCCTGTGAACCTTTTCATTGGTAACCACACAGGGCCGACAGCTGCACTATCAGACACCTACAATCCCGTATACCCGACTCCCCCCCCACAAACCCCCCTTCCCCCTCTCCCCCTGTGAACCTTTTCATTGGTAACCACACAGGGAGGCGACAGCTCAGTGGACAACTGCACCATACGCCAGGTGGGCTCTCAGTGCGGTGCTGCGCGGTACGATGTGGTATCCCTGTATGATGGAGGGAGGTAGTGTCTGTTTCTCTCCTCCAGGGAGGATACATCTCAGTGTGTAATTGCACCATATGACAGGTGGGTTCAGTGCGGTGCTGTGCAGTGAGGTGTGGTGCTGTGCAGTATGCTTGCAGGTCGTGTCTGTGTGTTGCTGTAACATAATGCCATAACCCATACCCCATACCCACCATACCCCGTACCCACCATACCCCATACTTTACTCCAACAGTACTCGATACACAACCATACCCACTACCCGGTACCCACCGGTCCCCATGCACACCATATCCCACATCCCATACACACCATGCCCCATACCTACCACACCCAATACCCACCCTACCTCATATAACATTCCCACCATACTACCTATACCCACCATTTCCGATACACACCATACCACGTACACCATACACCATACATACCCTCCATACCCACCATGCCCCATAACCCCTACCCCATGTACACCATACAATGTACCCTATTCCCCATAACCCATACTCTCCATACCCCATACCCACCATACCCCATACCCACCATACCCCTACACCCTGTACCCCTTACAGACATTCCCCTGCAAGAATCCCGGGTCGCCCAGGGGTCTTCAAATACTGGAACGAGAATTCTCAGGTGAGGTGGAGGGAAGGGATGGGGGGAGTAAATGGGGGATTGAGGGGAATTTTCGGTCACTGTGTCTTGGAATCTTCCACGTTTGTTTAACTCTGCGCCCAACTTCCTCGCTTCCTCCAAAATCCCCTGTGTCTGAACTTCTCTAGTCCGAAAGCTGGCATGTTTTACTCCTCTCCCTCTCACCTCACTCCTCCTTTCCTCCCTTCTGCTCCCTCCTCCCTTCTGCTCCCCTCCTCCCTTCTGCTCCCTCCTCCCTTCTGCTCCCTCCTCCCTTCTGCTCCCTCCTCCCTTCTGCTCCCCTCCTCCCTTCTGCTCCCCTCCTCCCTTCTGCTCCCCTCCTCCCTTCTGCTCCCCTCCTCCCTTCTGCTCCCCTCCTCCCTTCTGCTCCCTTCCCCCAAACCACCCTCCATCTGAACTTCCCAAATGCAAAAGCTGGCATGTTTGGCTTGCGATCCCTCCTCACCTCACTGCGTCCGGGATAAATATCGCCCCTCCCTCTTCCCCACATCTTCATGCGTTTTTATTTCACATATGCAGAGCCCCACGTTTCTCATTCCCCTATCTTCCCGCTCCCCGGCCTCCCACTACAATTTTTGAGGCGCCTCAAAAAAGTCCTCCCACTACACCCGTCCGTCCCCTTCTCCGGTAGATGTCCCGTCTTTCCCACTTCCCACATCCAGAAGCTGACATGGATCTGATTGAAGAGTGTATGGACATGTCCCGCTCGCTGTCCTCCCCTCTATGCCCGTCCTTCCCCTTCTCCCCGAAATCTCCCTGCTTTCCCACTTCCCACTTCCAGACGCCGACTTGGATCTGATTGAAGAGAGTGCGTATGGAAATGTTACACAGACCCAACAAGGTTCAAGGTGTAGCATACAATAAGGCGACTGTACAAAAGCTCTGCTTTGTCCCATCAGGGGTGCTGATTAAAATAATGATTGTAGGCTAGTATGTGTAACAACTCTGATGATTGTATGGCAAATTTTGTAGTTTTTGAGATGCTTTGTTGTGAGCATGCTCTGTGGCTACTGTTCAGCTGTGTGAAAGGCACATCAACTGCTTGTTTTTGTCAACTAGAAGCACTCTTCATAATGACTGCAGTGTGCTGCAACTATGGCCCTGATGCTGAAAGGGATTCACTGGTCAGTATATCCAAAGAATGTTAGGGCAAGCATAACTGTTTTTCTATGTTTGACCCCTACTAATAGGAGGTCTACTTGTCCCATCCACTCATATAAGTCAGCCGCCACCCAAACTCCTGTAAATGGTGCAGTGTAGCACCTACTGGAGCTTATCCTCGTATAAGGCAACCCTCTCAAATTGGGGTTCCTCATTATTGACTGGAGAACAGTGTCCTGCTCAACCAGCCGCCGTGTATCAGCTGCAGTGTAGCAAGTATACTTCACTGCAAGCCGTATTACCTTTGATAACTTCTAAAACCCCTCCGGCAGCACAACATTGTTCGTAGTGTGCACAGCAAGCTTGCCAATCTTGATGTAGAAATCCGGACCCATTATAGTCACCCTGCTCTTAACGGGGGTAGTCTTCCCACACAGCGTAACCCGTCTCTTCGCGGACGCGGGCGAAACCTTCGTCAAATACAGCGGCTTCTTCTTCGAGTCCTGTGATAGGGTTACCACCGGCGTGCCGGGTGTTAACATCTGCAGCTCGGGCCGGGTCTTCACGCCCTTGATCACTTGATACGCGACGATCGTCAGCAGCTTCGTCATGTCGTAACGGGTGAGATTCGCTCTAGTGATCGCCGCGTTAGTGGGTACAAGAACGGTAACCGAATTCTGCGTAACGAACTGGTTCACCTGCTTTGTCTTGCCTGTGTGGGGGAGGGGGAGGGTTTAGGCATGGCGAAGGGGGAGAGGGAGAGTGAGTGACGGAAGGTGACCCGCAGTCGGCTCATCGGCCTTGAAAAGAACTGGTTCATCTGCTTTGTCTTGCCTGTTTGGGGGAGGGGGAGGGTAGGTGGCGGAAAGTGACCAGCGGAGAGGGATGGGGGACAAGGGAGAAATTGTGAGCGGTTTGGGTTTAAAGTAGGGGAAATAGACTGGCGAATAAACGTGAAAGAGATGTTACGGGAAACACGCAAAGAAGGACGAAAGTGAGGTCTGAAGACAGGAGTAAGTCAGAAGTCGGGGGGTGACTTTTGAGTCGACTCAAAAGTCACCTCGTTGGGGACTGAGCGAGTCGAAGATAAAAACCGAAAGTGAAGTTCTGAAGGCGAAGTTGGGGGCTTTGGGACTGATCGCGTGGAGCAACTAGGCTTCATGGAGATTGTCACTGGGCCATCGAGAACGGTTACTGGTACGTACCATACATGCTGAAGAGCGACACGAAGCTGGTGAATCCCGAGGCTTCAGGCTTCTCTTTTTCAAGTGGAATCAGATACTCACCTCACCACTGGCGCACAACGAAAGGAAGGAAGAAGGTACGTACCATACATGCTGAAGAGCGAAACGAAGCTCGTGAATCCCGAGGCGTTCAGTTTCGCGAGCGCCTCCTCATAATAGGGCGGCAGCGCTACCGTCTGCTTCGGTTGCTTCGCGGTCGTTGGCGGCGCAGCCGATACCGAGGATACGACTAGGAAGGCAGCGACGAGGAGGAGCAAAGCCGGCTTCGCGAGGGAAGCGACGGACGCCATTGCCAACTCGAAGGCTTGAAAGCTTGAAGGCTCAGGCGCACCAGTTTAGGTACTGTTACGATAAGGGAGAGGGCGAGTGAAACAGGGAACTAGACGTGTTTCGCAGGCGATTACGGACGGACGGGACGGGAGCAAACTGAGATCCTATGAAGTTAGGCTTTCAACAGATGTGTGAAATATATGATAATGAATGTTTCGAGGAAGAGGCGCTTTTGAAGGGAGAACAGCTTCGACAGCAGGGTTGGTTGCTGAGAGAAAATGTTGGTGGGGGTGGGCTGGGTCCAATGTGCCGTCCCCAACATTTGCGCCTCGCCAAATTGCGTATCGAGCCGCCAACTCAGCTCCGTCTAACGCGCCGCGCTCGGAGGGCGAAAAATGTGGAGGGAGCGTGGTTTGCGCGAGAAGTGGGCGACAGGTTTGGCAAGTAACGACTACTGTGCCGACGGCGGGGCCTTGGGAATGTCGCCAGGCGAAATCAGTTCCGACGGCCAACCGTCCGCGACCACTGCGAGCACCCGTCGTGCAGCTACCAGATGTCGGCGACAATGTGGCGAAATCATCCTGGGCGGTGATTAGGGAATTCGCCACGAACTCTGTCACACTCTACACTAGTATAACGGAGATAAACACCAGGCCCATAGTTATCAGGCTTTTTACGCTGATTTTGCTCCTCTTTTTTTTTCAAGGTCTTCTCTTATACCGACCCTGACGAATCAGCCTTGAAAGCGAAAGAAGCAGGGCCAACCAGTAAGAAAACCACTACCAAAAACTGATTTTCAGGGTGTTTTATGAGATTGACACTGGTCAATCAGCGTGGCCTAAAATGAATCTGAGGGCCTGATAAACACTCAAAAGTGCTTCACCCTCCTATACATAATTGAATTCATCCAGCCTCAGCTTCCTTAACAAGATCCATATACTCTAACAACACTCTTTGCATCCGCCTGCTTGAGAGCAAGGCTGGGAACACCACAGCTCGTAGAAGGCCACGTTTTTTTCGCACATCCTGTAGAGGCAGGCAAGGCAAGGGAGGAAACAAATACTACAACAACATGAAGTACGGCAGGTGTTGGTGGCACACGACACTGTCAACTTGCGCCGTATAGCTGTGAGGAATCAATCACCCCGCAAGTGCTTTGTCTGTGATTTATAAGCTACACAATAGGGCACATCAATTACCATGTGTACCTGCACCACACCAAATTTAGTTGCTCAGCCAATACAAGCCAACGTGCTTAATGTCCCAAGCTGACTTCAACAAAGCACGCACGAGTGAACTTCTAAAAGCCTTATGCTGACTCACCTCATCAACTTGTGGAGTATGCCGAATGGCTGGACCCGCAGAGCCATCCGTAACCAAGCCACCCCTGTTTGTGGTAACCGCATGCTGTCCAGTGTCCACAGGGCCAAGGAGCTCCTGGCAGACTTCCCTCAGACGACCCTCGTCGCCCTCCCTGGGGGCAAGGAAGGGGCAAGAGGGGAGGGAGAGAAGTAGAGGGAATGAGGAGCGGGAGAGGGAGGCAGCTGTGGGTCGAGGCGATTCAAACCACTCCTGAGAAACTTCCCTCAGTAGGCCCTTGAAACCCTTGAGACATGGAAAAGGAAGTGGGAGAAACGGCAAGGGCAAGTGGGAGAGAAGAAGGGGGTTTTTAGAAGAGAGGGAGGAGGGTAAGTGTGGGGGCTGGAAAGAGAGGCCTGGCAGGGAGGCTTGGGAGTGAGGCCTGGCAGGGAGGCTTGGGAGTGAGGCCTGGCAGGGAGGCCTGGGAGTGAGGCCTGGCAGGGAGGCCTGGGAGTGAGGCAGGGCAAGGAGGTCCAGCCTAGCCAGGTTCGGAATACCATAGCTCAATTGTTGCATTGGAAAGTTCCAAGAAACTCACTTGGTCAGCAGGCGCACATATTCCGCCAGGAGCCTCCTGAACTCGTCAGGTGAATTCAACAGACGACACGCTGCCAGGGCGTTCTCCAGGTGGGCTCTTGTGGCGTGAGCCTCCTCTCCAGGTGCCTGCCTGTTTAGGAATATGGGAGCAAGCGGGGACAGGGTGGAGAGCGGCCGAAGAGGGGATGAGATCATGAGACAAAGAAAGGGTCCCATAGAAGACAGGCAAAAGACAGATAGTCTGGCAGGAAGAGATAGGAGATAGGTGGTGGATGGGAAAGGGAGGGAAAATAGAAGGCGCGAGGAGGTGTGGGGACGAGAGAGAATAGAGAGTACCCACCTTGAAAGGAGAGCAACCGCCCCAGCAGCAGCAGCAGCAGCAGCAGCACCAGCAGCGGCAGCACCACCAGCAGCAGAACCAGCAAAGCACCAGCACTGGCAGCAGCAGCAGTGGCAGCAGCAGCAATAGCGGCAGCAGCAGCAGCAGCAGCACCAGCATCGTTGGCAGCAAGAGAGCGAATACCACCCACCTTGAGAGCAGAGCAACCGCCCCACCAGCAGCAGCACCACCTGAACCACCGCCACCATCTCTGGCAACACCTCGCATCCCCCCAGCTTGGAAAGCGCCAGGTGGCGGCCGCCAATTGGACGAGAGGCGCGAAGAGGGGTGGGGCCGAGAGAGGGGCATCCAGGCGTGCAGGGAGGGGTGGAGCAGGAAGGATTTCCCCGACAGGAGCGTTACTATTGGGGTGCGCGGGGGGAGGAGGCGAGCGGATGCTATGCGCAGGGTACCTGGCGGATAGGGGATTAAGGGGGGCGAAAAGAGGGTAACAAGGGATATGGTGGGATATGGTGGGATATGGTGGGATATGGTGGGGGAGAGAGAGGACGCGAGCAGATGCTATGGGGAGAGTACCTGGAGGGGAGGAGGGAAAAGCAGAGGGAAAGAGAGGGGCACCCAGGCGTGCAGCGAGGGGTGGAGGAGGAAGAAATCCCCCGACAGAAGGGTGATGTGGGGAGTACTCGGGGGGAGGAGACGAGCAGATGATATGCAGAGCTGGAGAGTGAGTGGTGGGATAGGGGGAGGGCGTAGGGCGAGAGAGGGTCGTTCAAGAGTGCAGGGAGAGGGTGGAGGAGGAAGAAGCGACCCCAAAAAAGGGTGAAGAGTGGAGTGCAAGGGGGGAGGAGACGAGCCAGCTATCGCCTCAATGTTCCCCTTCCCCCTCACCTTCTGTTGCCGCTGCAACCAGCGCCCACAGGTCAGCCCAATCCCCTCACCTTCTGTTGCCCCTGCAGCCAAATCTCGCTCATCACCAGCCGTTGCTGCCTCTCCCATCCCACACCCTCACTCCCACAGTTGCAGTCAAACCCAGGTTTTGGGGCGCATGGCCTGGCCACCTCTCTTACCTTTCGTTGCCTCTGCAGCACCCAACCAGCGCGCCCATGTCAGCATCCACCAGCAGTCGCAGCCGCCCGTGTATTTCCCCATGCACGCCTCCAACCCTCCTCCCATCTAAAGCGCCTATCAATGTCGTTTCCCTGTTCCCCTCACCTTCTGTTGCCTCAGCACCCAACGCGCGCATATCACCATCGACCAGCAGCTGCAGCCGCCCCATGTCCCACAACCTCACTCCCCCTCCCCTCGTCACAACCAGCAGCATCGGTCCCACCATTCCCCCTTCCCCCTGCCCTCCCCCAGCCCCAGTTCCCCCTTCCCCCTGCCCTCCCCCAGCCCCAGTTCCCCCTTTCCCCTGCATTCCCCCAGCCCCCATCCCCCCCTCCCCCTGCTGCGCCCACAGCTGATCCAGGGGGCTCTTGAACACGAGCCGGTGGTTTCTTGACACCCCGAACCAGGCCTGGTTCCTAGGCTCGGCGCCGGACCAGGCTGGAGGTTCGGGGGCAGACAAAGCTGCAGGTTCGGCGCCGGACCAGGAGAGAAGGACGGCGGGAGAGTCCAGGAGGATCTCGGGGAGGAGCCGCCGGCCGGCAGAAGATAATATCTGGATTCAGGGGGTGCGTTGGGGCGAGAGGGTGTCGAGATGGGTGTGCGGGGGGAGAGGAGGAACGGGAGGGGTTTTTGCCTGTGAGAGGGATGGATGATGATGCGCCATAAGTAGTCTAGCTACACTACCAGCTTTCATTCTGATAGTATCAGCATTTGACTCTTTGAGGTGCTGGGTGAGCCTTTGAGGTGCTGGATGAGCCTTTGAGGTGCTGGATGAGCCTTTGAGGTGCTGGATGAGCCTTTGAGGTGCTGGATGAGCCTTTGAGGTGCTGGATGAGCCTTTGAGGTGCTGGATGAGCCTTTGAGGTGCTGGATGAGCCTTTGAGGTGCTGGATGAGCCTTTGAGGTGCTGGATGAGCCTTTGAGGTGCTGGATGAGCCTTTGAGGTGCTGGATGAGCCTTTGAGGTGCTGGATGAGCCTTTGAGGTGCTGGATGAGCCTTTGAGGTGCTGGATGAGCCTTTGAGGTGCTGGATGAGCCTTTGAGGTGCTGGATGAGCCTTTGAGGTGCTGGATGAGCCTTTGAGGTGCTGGATGAGCCTTTGAGGTGCTGGATGAGCCTTTGAGGTGCCGGATGAGCCTTTGAGGTGCTGGATGAGCCTTTGAGGTGCTGGATGAGCCTTTGAGGTGCTGGATGAGCCTTTGAGATGATGCCCCACAGATTGGAAGCTCGCACGCTTCTGAGGCACTTGAAAGCTCACCAGGAGAGGAGAGGCGGTGGCAAGTTGTGGGATGGAAACCCGTCTGGTCTCACCAGAAGCGAGTGGTTGGAAGCGGCAACAGCAGTGATGGTGGTAGGAAACGCACGTGGTTTTGGCACTCAAAATCACACCAGGAGGGAGTGGCAAAGGCCACGGCCCACAGAGTGCCTCCAGGCAACTGGGCTTGTGTTGAGGGGTGGGACATAGCGGGTGAGCAGCCGTCAATGGCGCAACAGCAGTGACTGTTGGGCGTTTGTTGTGTTGGGCGGTGGGACACAGCAGGTGGGCAGCCAGCAATGGAGTAACGGCAGTGAATGTGGTGGGAAGTGCACGTGCTTTGAGGCAGTTGAGAGCTCACCAGGAGAGATCGGTTGGCAAAGGCCACAGCCCACAGAGTGCCCCCAGGCAACTGGGCTTGTGTTGAGGGGTGGGAAGCAGCGGGTGGGCAGCCAGCAATGGCAGTGACAGAGGAATTGAGTCGGTCCCGCCACAAGACATGGCTGTTGAGAGAGCAGACGAGGTCAGAGGGAGAGGCGTCTGCTGTGGGGGAGGGGTGGGGAGATGTGGGGAGAGGTGGGGAGAGGTGGGGAGAGGTGGGGAGCGATGGTCAGAGGGAGAGGCGTCTGGATGGGAAGGGGTTGGGGACGGGAAGGCAGGCACAGGGGCAATGGCAGTGACGGGGGAAGGGAGCCGGTCCAGGCAAAGAACTGTGGCGTTGAGTTGAGAGGACAGACGAGGTCGTTGATTTTGCTGGGTGTTTTTTACAATTCTCAAAAACACCCTGCAAAATGAAGGGAGACGGTCCAGGCACAGAACTGTGTGTGGCGTTGAGTTGAGAGGACAGACGAGGCCAGTGGGAGAACCACCCTGCCTTCTCACAGATCCAAGCCTCACAACCAGCCCACATCCACACCCACAACCAGAGAACCCAATTCCCATGCCATCGCACCTGTCGCTCCCTGCATCCTCGCTTCCAGAACCACCCTGGCTTCACCATTCCATAGCTGTCGAGAAGCCTCAGATGTAGGTGCAGAACCAGCATTGCGACCACCACTACTACCGGCAGCAGCAGGAGGAGCACCAACACCAGCAGCAGCAGCAGCTGCAGCCCTTTGCAAGGCCATGGCATCAGCAGGCACACTTGCATACACCACACTCCCGGCCTTCCCATCACCTTCTCCGTTCCCCACTCCTCCTCTTCCTCCCTCACCAGGCTTCCCTCCTCTCCAACCACTCCCTACCCCATACGCGCCCCTCCCTTCCACCCTCACCACCATTCCAGACGCTCGAGCCTCCATCCCTCCCTCCCTCTCCCTTCCTCCCTCCCCCTCTCCCCCTCTCCCTCCCCACACCCCACCGTTTCTCTCTGAGCTTCCTACCCCATCCCTCCCCAAGCTGTCCATCCCGTGTCTCCCCGGGCCCACCCCATGTCGCCCTGAGCGGCCTACCCCATCTCTCAGCCTCCAATCCACCCCGAACCCTCTCCCATCTGCTCCTTCCGCCCCAACACTTTCCCCCAACCTTTCCCCCAGCCTTTCCCCCAGCTTTTGCCTCTTGTTCTCTCTGTCTTGGGTGCCTCCTGTGCTTGGCCCGGGTACGGCAGCGGTTGAATACGGTTTCAGACTCTGCTGCGGCTGCTGCTGGTTACCAGGTTGCTGGTTACCGGGTTGCTGGTTACCATTCTGTTGGTGCTGCTGTGGGCTAGGGACTCTCTTTGCTGCAGCAGCTGATGCTGACAGTGGTACTGGTGCGGGTGCTGTTGTTGCTGCTGCTGCTGCTGCTGCTGCTGCTGTTGCCGCTGCTGCAGTTTGTGCTGGTGCTGGTGTTGGTGCTGGTGCTGCTACTGTTGCAACTCTTGCTGGTGCTGCTGCTGGTGTTTTTGCTGTTGTTGCTGCTGCCGCTGCTACTACAGCTGCTGTTGCCGGTGCTGCTGCCACCACTGGTGCTGCTGTTACCGCTGGTGCTGCTGCTGCTGCTGCTGCTGCTGCCGCTGTTGCAGCAGCAACCCCTGCATGTGCTGCCGCTGGCACTGCATCCAGCTGTGCAGGCGGTTCAGCCATTATAGAGGTGATAGCAACAGGCGTGATTCGCTTCCGCCCATCCTTCCTCCTCCCCACCACCTGCTGCCTTTTCACGCTCTCAGACGTCATCTGCACAGCTGAACCACCACCAGCTACTGTTGCTGCTGCAGTGCCTCCTCTTGCCACTATCCTTCCAGCAGCAGCAGCAGCAGCAGCAGCAGCAGCAGCCGCCGCCTCTATCTCCACCTGCTGCTGCAGCGCCAGCAGCTCTGGATCCTCCACGAGCGAATGGGGCGCCGCCACGTGGCGGTGGCCGTACAGGCTGGCGATGCGGTCCCTCATCTCGCACTGCGTCAGTGGAATGCCGAGCTCTGATTGGTCGAAGAGGAAGGCTGCTACAGTGCCGTCCGCCGAGCAACAGAGCATGTGCATTCCGCATGGAGACCTGAAGGGAGAAGGTAGATGGGGTGAATTGAGGGGAGGAGAGGAGAAGCGAGGCGAGCGGTTGAGGGGCAGCGTTGAGGGGAATAGGGGAGAGTTTGCCAGGGGTAATATACAGAGTGCTTCAGAAGAGAGCAACAGAGCATTTGCACACTACACAGCAACGAGCCAAAGCAGCTTTTGAGTCGACTCAAAAGCATTTGCACACTGCACAGAAATGAGCCGAAACAGTACCGTACCTACCATGCTATGCATGCTATGCATGCTATGCCCAAGTCAGGTTGCTTAAAGAGGTTCTTTGGGATGAAGAGCGGTGAAGGGCGGTACGTGGGCCACAGGGTGACCTTCCGATCCATGCCGCCCAACGCAATCCACCTATAAACCCACTCCTCATCAGCGCTGTTGTAGGTGTATGTACATGATTCTCAACATACACCCATGCCACAACATACCCCTCACTCCTCCTCATAACACTCACCCAGGCCATGCCACAACATACAGTGCCCAAATTACCATGCAATGTCCAGCACAGGCTGCTTGAAGAGGTTCTTCGCAGTGAAGAGCGGTGAAGGGCGGTACGTGGGCCACAGCGTAACCTTCCGATCCATGCCGCCCAACGCCATCCACCCATACGCCCCACTCCTCATCAACGCCGTTGCTTCCTCCCTCACTCTCTCCCTCTCCCTCTCCTCCTCCTCCCTCACTCTCTCCCTCTCCCTCTCCTCCTCCCTCACTCTCACCCTCTCCCTCTCCCTCTCCTCTTTCTCCCTCACTCTCTCCTTCTCTCTCGCCTCCTCCTCTCCCTTCGTCCTGTCGCCTTCTCCCTTCCTCTCCTCTCCTATCAAACCCCCTCGCCGTGCTCCGCTCTCCAAATTTCCTCCTCCCCTCCCCTCCCCTCCCTCCCCCTTCCCCTTCTCTGTAACAAGAAACAGCGCAGAAACTGTTGCAAACTTTCCCTCCTTAGAATCACCATCCTTCACCGGCACACCATCATCACCAACAGTAGCAGCAGCAGCAGCAGACGGAGCAGGAGGAGGAGTAGCAGACAAAGCAACCGCAGTAGAAACCGTGCCTACATCAGCAGCAGCCGCACCACCATCACCATCCCCATCCCCAGAAGGCTCGGCACCAGTGGCACCTGTAGCACCAGTACCACTTGCAGCAGCATCAGCGCCACCATCCCCTTTCTCACCACCCCCAGCTACACTTCGCTGGCCCCCTTTAGAGCTCCCGCCATCACTACCCCCTCCCCCTTTCTCCACCTTCCCCGGATCCCCCTCCCCCTCCCTCTCACCCCGCCCAGAACCACCGACTCTCTCCCCCTCGCCCTTGGAACCACCCTTCCCAGGTTCGGCAGCCCCCAGCGTGGTTCGGTAGAGCACGGGGCTGTACCGAGCCACGGTGACAGGTCCGGTGTGCCCGACGTAGTCCAAGGTCTTGGCCCACCCGAGCGTGCGGTCTAGGATCGCCGCGGTGTGATTTGGGTCGGCAAAGGCGTGGACTGTAGTGAGGTAGGAGCCACAGGGGGAGAAGGAGAGGCGGCGAAAGAAAGTCGCTCCTACCTGGGGAGAGGAAAAGAGGAGCGGAATAAGTAGCGGAATAAGTAGCGGAATAAGTAGCGGAATAAGTAGGGGAATAAGGAGGGGAATAAGAGGGGAATAAGAGGGTGGAATGCAGACGAACGGCACAAATATTTTTTAGGCGCCTCAAAAGTAGCTCCTACCTGGGGAGAGACAAAAAGAGCAGGGCAATAAGAGGGAGGAAAGTTGGAGGGGAATAAGAGGGAGGAAAGCAGAAGAACGGCACAAGTACCAGCTTTCAGCCACAGCAGGCATGGATCAAAGAGCATCTTTGAGTCGACTCAAAAGATCAAAGAGCATCTTTGAGTCGACTCAAAAATCACCCGAGCTCCGAGACGTCTGAGCCACAACAGGCACAGAGCAACGATCAAAGACCATCTTTGAGCTTTGTCCTAAGATGGTCAATTACGTTTTTCAAGTCACGTACACGTAAAAATACGTGTAAATTTACGATTACGTTTTTACGCGTAATTTACGCTGGGCAGATGATAAAAAAAACTATTTCTGAGAATTAAATAAATAAATAAACGCCACAGCGAGCACTTGTGCTAATACCGGGCTGGGGGAAACCAGCGGTTGAATGGCAGACACAAACGGATTTCCTAAGGGAATGGGGAATGGGGAATGGGGAATGGGGAATGGGGAATGGCAGCTCGACAAGCATAGAGTGGGGGTTGCTGGGGAAAATGGATGCGGGCGATGGGAAGGGGAGGTGTTAAAAAGAAGGTGTTGACTTCTTAATTTATGTCTAACTGTTGAGTCACCTACCCTTCTCAACATCATCGTGTCGTCGCACCTGCGACACATTTAACTTGGTCTGTACGTGACATGCCGACCAGTTCCCCCGCAGCACGCAACCGACACTTGCAAATCCTGACCAATCGGGAGTCCACCAGAAACGGCAGTTTCTGGTGTGACAAACTTATTTCGATGTTTGGTAAAATGAGTGGAAAGCCATCTTTTTACAAGGGGCACTCTTGGGCAGCCTACAAAAATAAAACTCTGCCCGGAAACGTAAACTGGTTTTGAGAAAATCGTAAACGTAACGTAACGTAAGCGTAAATGTAACGTAAACCGACGTACATCTTAGGTTTTGTCTGAAATGTCTCGAAACTCAGCCACAATAGGCATGGATCAAAGACCATTTTCGCTCTGGAGGAAGGTTTTTGAGTCGACTCAAAAGTCACCATCCTTGAGTGCTTTTGAGGCGTCTCAAAAGCACTCTCAGAAGCAGACCATCCTTGAGTCCAGGAGGACGGTTGGTTATGCAGCATGCCTGTTGTATAACTCAACTCATGGCTTGTGAGTCGACTCAAAAGTCTGCCTGTTGTATAACTCAACTCATGGCTTGTGAGTCGACTCAAAAGTCTGCCTGTTGTATAACTCAACTCATGGCTTGTGAGTCGACTCAAAAGTCTGTCTGTTGTATAACTCAACTCATGGCTTGTGAGTCGACTCACAAGTCTGCCTGTTGTATAACTCAACTCACGGCTTGTGAGTCGACTCAAAAGTCTGCCTGTTGTATAACTCAACTCATGGCTTGTGAGTCGACTCAAAAGTCTGCCTGTTGTATAACTCAACTCACGGCTTGTGAGTCGACTCACAAGTCTGCCTGTTGTATAACTCAACTCATGGCTTGTGAGTCGACTCAAAAGTCTGCCTGTTGTATAACTCAACTCACGGCTTGTGAGTCGACTCACCTGTTGTATAACTCAACTCATGGCTTGTGAGTCGACTCAAAAGTCTGCCTGTTGTATAACTCAACTCACGGCTTGTGAGTCGACTCAAAAGTCTGTCTGTTGTATAACTCAACTCATGGCTTGTGAGTCGACTCACAAGTCTGCCTGTTGTATAACTCAACTCATGGCTTGTGAGTCGACTCAAAAGTCTGCCTGTTGTATAACTCAACTCACGGCTTGTGAGTCGACTCAAAAGTCTGCCTGTTGTATAACTCAACTCATGGCTTGTGAGTCGACTCAAAAGTCTGCCTGTTGTATAACTCAACTCACGGCTTGTGAGTCGACTCAAAAGTCTGCCTGTTGTATAACTCAACTCATGGCTTGTGAGTCGACTCAAAAGTCTGCCTGTTGTATAACTCAACTCACGGCTTGTGAGTCGACTCAAAAGTCTGCCTGTTGTATAACTCAACTCATGGCTTGTGAGTCGACTCAAAAGTCTGCCTGTTGTATAACTCAACTCATGGCTTGTGAGTCGACTCAAAAGTCTGCCTGTTGTATAACTCAACTCATGGCTTGTGAGTCGACTCAAAAGTCTGCCTGTTGTATAACTCAACTCATGGCTTGTGAGTCGACTCAAAAGTCTGCCTGTTGTATAACTCAACTCATGGCTTGTGAGTCGACTCAAAAGTCTGCCTGTTGTATAACTCAACTCATGGCTTGTGAGTCGACTCAAAAGTCTGCCTGTTGTATAACTCAACTCATGGCTTGTGAGTCGACTCAAAAGTCTGCCTGTTGTATAACTCAACTCATGGCTTGTGAGTCGACTCAAAAGTCTGCCTGTTGTATAACTCAACTCACGGCTTGTGAGTCGACTCAAAAGTCTGCCTGTTGTATAACTCAACTCATGGCTTGTGAGTCGACTCAAAAGTCTGCCTGTTGTATAACTCAACTCACGGCTTGTGAGTCGACTCAAAAGTCTGCCTGTTGTATAACTCAACTCATGGCTTGTGAGTCGACTCAAAAGTCTGCCTGTTGTATAACTCAACTCATGGCTTGTGAGTCGACTCAAAAGTCTGCCTGTTGTATAACTCAACTCATGGCTTGTGAGTCGACTCAAAAGTCTGTCTGTTGTATAACTCAACTCATGGCTTGTGAGTCGACTCACAAGTCTGCCTGTTGTATAACTCAACTCACGGCTTGTGAGTCGACTCAAAAGTCTGCCTGTTGTATAACTCAACTCATGGCTTGTGAGTCGACTCAAAAGTCTGCCTGTTGTATAACTCAACTCACGGCTTGTGAGTCGACTCACAAGTCTGCCTGTTGTATAACTCAACTCATGGCTTGTGAGTCGACTCAAAAGTCTGCCTGTTGTATAACTCAACTCACGGCTTGTGAGTCGACTCACCTGTTGTATAACTCAACTCATGGCTTGTGAGTCGACTCAAAAGTCTGCCTGTTGTATAACTCAACTCACGGCTTGTGAGTCGACTCAAAAGTCTGTCTGTTGTATAACTCAACTCATGGCTTGTGAGTCGACTCACAAGTCTGCCTGTTGTATAACTCAACTCATGGCTTGTGAGTCGACTCAAAAGTCTGCCTGTTGTATAACTCAACTCACGGCTTGTGAGTCGACTCAAAAGTCTGCCTGTTGTATAACTCAACTCATGGCTTGTGAGTCGACTCAAAAGTCTGCCTGTTGTATAACTCAACTCACGGCTTGTGAGTCGACTCAAAAGTCTGCCTGTTGTATAACTCAACTCATGGCTTGTGAGTCGACTCAAAAGTCTGCCTGTTGTATAACTCAACTCACGGCTTGTGAGTCGACTCAAAAGTCTGCCTGTTGTATAACTCAACTCATGGCTTGTGAGTCGACTCAAAAGTCTGCCTGTTGTATAACTCAACTCATGGCTTGTGAGTCGACTCAAAAGTCTGCCTGTTGTATAACTCAACTCATGGCTTGTGAGTCGACTCAAAAGTCTGCCTGTTGTATAACTCAACTCATGGCTTGTGAGTCGACTCAAAAGTCTGCCTGTTGTATAACTCAACTCATGGCTTGTGAGTCGACTCAAAAGTCTGCCTGTTGTATAACTCAACTCATGGCTTGTGAGTCGACTCAAAAGTCTGCCTGTTGTATAACTCAACTCATGGCTTGTGAGTCGACTCAAAAGTCTGCCTGTTGTATAACTCAACTCATGGCTTGTGAGTCGACTCAAAAGTCTGCCTGTTGTATAACTCAACTCACGGCTTGTGAGTCGACTCAAAAGTCTGCCTGTTGTATAACTCAACTCATGGCTTGTGAGTCGACTCAAAAGTCTGCCTGTTGTATAACTCAACTCACGGCTTGTGAGTCGACTCAAAAGTCTGCCTGTTGTATAACTCAACTCATGGCTTGTGAGTCGACTCAAAAGTCTGCCTGTTGTATAACTCAACTCATGGCTTGTGAGTCGACTCAAAAGTCTGCCTGTTGTATAACTCAACTCACGGCTTGTGAGTCGACTCAAAAGTCTGTCTGTTGTATAACTCAACTCATGGCTTGTGAGTCGACTCACAAGTCTGCCTGTTGTATAACTCAACTCATGGCTTGTGAGTCGACTCAAAAGTCTGCCTGTTGTATAACTCAACTCACGGCTTGTGAGTCGACTCAAAAGTCTGCCTGTTGTATAACTCAACTCATGGCTTGTGAGTCGACTCAAAAGTCTGCCTGTTGTATAACTCAACTCACGGCTTGTGAGTCGACTCAAAAGTCTGCCTGTTGTATAACTCAACTCATGGCTTGTGAGTCGACTCAAAAGTCTGCCTGTTGTATAACTCAACTCACGGCTTGTGAGTCGACTCAAAAGTCTGCCTGTTGTATAACTCAACTCATGGCTTGTGAGTCGACTCAAAAGTCTGCCTGTTGTATAACTCAACTCATGGCTTGTGAGTCGACTCAAAAGTCTGCCTGTTGTATAACTCAACTCATGGCTTGTGAGTCGACTCAAAAGTCTGCCTGTTGTATAACTCAACTCATGGCTTGTGAGTCGACTCAAAAGTCTGCCTGTTGTATAACTCAACTCATGGCTTGTGAGTCGACTCAAAAGTCTGCCTGTTGTATAACTCAACTCATGGCTTGTGAGTCGACTCAAAAGTCTGCCTGTTGTATAACTCAACTCATGGCTTGTGAGTCGACTCAAAAGTCTGCCTGTTGTATAACTCAACTCATGGCTTGTGAGTCGACTCAAAAGTCTGCCTGTTGTATAACTCAACTCACGGCTTGTGAGTCGACTCAAAAGTCTGCCTGTTGTATAACTCAACTCATGGCTTGTGAGTCGACTCAAAAGTCTGCCTGTTGTATAACTCAACTCACGGCTTGTGAGTCGACTCAAAAGTCTGCCTGTTGTATAACTCAACTCATGGCTTGTGAGTCGACTCAAAAGTCTGCCTGTTGTATAACTCAACTCATGGCTTGTGAGTCGACTCAAAAGTCTGCCTGTTGTATAACTCAACTCATGGCTTGTGAGTCGACTCAAAAGTCTGCCTGTTGTATAACTCAACTCATGGCTTGTGAGTCGACTCAAAAGTCTGCCTGTTGTATAACTCAACTCATGGCTTGTGAGTCGACTCAAAAGTCTGCCTGTTGTATAACTCAACTCATGGCTTGTGAGTCGACTCAAAAGTCTGCCTGTTGTATAACTCAACTCATGGCTTGTGAGTCGACTCAAAAGTCTGCCTGTTGTATAACTCAACTCATGGCTTGTGAGTCGACTCAAAAGTCTGCCTGTTGTATAACTCAACTCACGGCTTGTGAGTCGACTCAAAAGTCTGCCTGTTGTATAACTCAACTCATGGCTTGTGAGTCGACTCAAAAGTCTGCCTGTTGTATAACTCAACTCATGGCTTGTGAGTCGACTCAAAAGTCTGTCTGTTGTATAACTCAACTCACGGCTTGTGAGTCGACTCAAAAGTCTGCCTGTTGTATAACTCAACTCATGGCTTGTGAGTCGACTCAAAAGTCTGCCTGTTGTATAACTCAACTCACGGCTTGTGAGTCGACTCAAAAGTCTGCCTGTTGTATAACTCAACTCATGGCTTGTGAGTCGACTCAAAAGTCTGCCTGTTGTATAACTCAACTCACGGCTTGTGAGTCGACTCAAAAGTCTGCCTGTTGTATAACTCAACTCACGGCTTGTGAGTCGACTCAAAAGTCTGCCTGTTGTATAACTCAACTCATGGCTTGTGAGTCGACTCAAAAGTCTGCCTGTTGTATAACTCAACTCACGGCTTGTGAGTCGACTCAAAAGTCTGCCTGTTGTATAACTCAACTCATGGCTTGTGAGTCGACTCAAAAGTCTGCCTGTTGTATAACTCAACTCATGGCTTGTGAGTCGACTCAAAAGTCTGCCTGTTGTATAACTCAACTCATGGCTTGTGAGTCGACTCAAAAGTCTGCCTGTTGTATAACTCAACTCATGGCTTGTGAGTCGACTCAAAAGTCTGCCTGTTGTATAACTCAACTCATGGCTTGTGAGTCGACTCAAAAGTCTGCCTGTTGTATAACTCAACTCATGGCTTGTGAGTCGACTCAAAAGTCTGCCTGTTGTATAACTCAACTCATGGCTTGTGAGTCGACTCAAAAGTCTGCCTGTTGTATAACTCAACTCATGGCTTGTGAGTCGACTCAAAAGTCTGCCTGTTGTATAACTCAACTCACGGCTTGTGAGTCGACTCAAAAGTCTGCCTGTTGTATAACTCAACTCATGGCTTGTGAGTCGACTCAAAAGTCTGCCTGTTGTATAACTCAACTCATGGCTTGTGAGTCGACTCAAAAGTCTGTCTGTTGTATAACTCAACTCACGGCTTGTGAGTCGACTCAAAAGTCTGCCTGTTGTATAACTCAACTCATGGCTTGTGAGTCGACTCAAAAGTCTGCCTGTTGTATAACTCAACTCACGGCTTGTGAGTCGACTCAAAAGTCTGCCTGTTGTATAACTCAACTCATGGCTTGTGAGTCGACTCAAAAGTCTGCCTGTTGTATAACTCAACTCACGGCTTGTGAGTCGACTCAAAAGTCTGCCTGTTGTATAACTCAACTCATGGCTTGTGAGTCGACTCAAAAGTCTGCCTGTTGTATAACTCAACTCATGGCTTGTGAGTCGACTCAAAAGTCTGCCTGTTGTATAACTCAACTCATGGCTTGTGAGTCGACTCAAAAGTCTGCCTGTTGTATAACTCAACTCATGGCTTGTGAGTCGACTCAAAAGTCTGCCTGTTGTATAACTCAACTCATGGCTTGTGAGTCGACTCAAAAGTCTGCCTGTTGTATAACTCAACTCATGGCTTGTGAGTCGACTCAAAAGTCTGCCTGTTGTATAACTCAACTCACGGCTTGTGAGTCGACTCAAAAGTCTGCCTGTTGTATAACTCAACTCATGGCTTGTGAGTCGACTCAAAAGTCTGCCTGTTGTATAACTCAACTCATGGCTTGTGAGTCGACTCAAAAGTCTGCCTGTTGTATAACTCAACTCACGGCTTGTGAGTCGACTCAAAAGTCTGCCTGTTGTATAACTCAACTCATGGCTTGTGAGTCGACTCAAAAGTCTGCCTGTTGTATAACTCAACTCACGGCTTGTGAGTCGACTCAAAAGTCTGCCTGTTGTATAACTCAACTCATGGCTTGTGAGTCGACTCAAAAGTCTGCCTGTTGTATAACTCAACTCACGGCTTGTGAGTCGACTCAAAAGTCTGCCTGTTGTATAACTCAACTCATGGCTTGTGAGTCGACTCAAAAGTCTGCCTGTTGTATAACTCAACTCATGGCTTGTGAGTCGACTCAAAAGTCTGCCTGTTGTATAACTCAACTCATGGCTTGTGAGTCGACTCAAAAGTCTGCCTGTTGTATAACTCAACTCATGGCTTGTGAGTCGACTCAAAAGTCTGCCTGTTGTATAACTCAACTCATGGCTTGTGAGTCGACTCAAAAGTCTGCCTGTTGTATAACTCAACTCATGGCTTGTGAGTCGACTCAAAAGTCTGCCTGTTGTATAACTCAACTCATGGCTTGTGAGTCGACTCAAAAGTCTGCCTGTTGTATAACTCAACTCATGGCTTGTGAGTCGACTCAAAAGTCTGCCTGTTGTATAACTCAACTCACGGCTTGTGAGTCGACTCAAAAGTCTGCCTGTTGTATAACTCAACTCACGGCTTGTGAGTCGACTCAAAAGTCTGCCTGTTGTATAACTCAACTCATGGCTTGTGAGTCGACTCAAAAGTCTGCCTGTTGTATAACTCAACTCATGGCTTGTGAGTCGACTCAAAAGTCTGCCTGTTGTATAACTCAACTCATGGCTTGTGAGTCGACTCAAAAGTCTGCCTGTTGTATAACTCAACTCATGGCTTGTGAGTCGACTCAAAAGTCTGCCTGTTGTATAACTCAACTCATGGCTTGTGAGTCGACTCAAAAGTCTGCCTGTTGTATAACTCAACTCATGGCTTGTGAGTCGACTCAAAAGTCTGCCTGTTGTATAACTCAACTCATGGCTTGTGAGTCGACTCAAAAGTCTGCCTGTTGTATAACTCAACTCATGGCTTGTGAGTCGACTCAAAAGTCTGCCTGTTGTATAACTCAACTCACGGCTTGTGAGTCGACTCAAAAGTCTGCCTGTTGTATAACTCAACTCATGGCTTGTGAGTCGACTCAAAAGTCTGCCTGTTGTATAACTCAACTCATGGCTTGTGAGTCGACTCAAAAGTCTGCCTGTTGTATAACTCAACTCACGGCTTGTGAGTCGACTCAAAAGTCTGCCTGTTGTATAAATCAACTCAACCCCGCATGCATACTTCACCGTGAAACGAGTCACTCGTGACTCACCAACTTGGGATAAGGCCCCTCCACGCGCTTAGCCGACCGACCAATCGCCCAATCGTGGCCTTAGCTGCCCACAAGTCAAATGCTACCTCTGAATTCTGAAACCCTCCAATGCTGCCCACCGACTTGGGGTACAGCCCCTCCACACGTTTCGCCACCGACCAATCGTTGGTGCACCACACGATCACACTCTTGTCGTCCAATTGGCTACCGACGAACCGGCCAATGGGGTCCCACGCTGGACACACCCTTCACGAATCACTCACACCCGCCTTTTGAGTCGACTCAAAAGTCGCGCGCACACTTTTTGTGGGCTGAAAAGGCTCCGAACAGGTAAACCCTTCATACCACCCTACCCTGCACACTACAGGCTGAAACCCTTCAACCCTTCATCGTTCACTCACAGATTTTGGATAAGGCCCCTCCACGCGTTTCGCAACCGACCAATCGTTGGTCCGCCACACGATCACGCTCTTGTCGTCGGATTGGCTGCCGACGAAGCGGCCAATGGGGTCCCACGCCACGCCCTTCACAAAGCTGCTGTGCCCGGTCAGCACCGCCACCTGGCGCCCTGTCATTGGCTGCCAGATGCGCACCGTGCTGTCGAGGCTGCAGGTGGCGATGAGAGAATCATCAGGAGACCAGTCAACATCGACCTAGTAGGGAAGGGAGATGGGAGAAGGATGGGGGGTGTCAACTGCCAGATGCGCATGAGCTTCCAGTTCTCCCGGTTCTGATTGATGCTCTGCCAGGGAGGGGAGGGGAGGGGAGAGAGGGGAGGGGAGGGGAGGGGAGGGGAGGGAGGGGAGGGGGGAGGAAGGAAGGGCTGTCAAGACTACATGGGCTTCCAGTTCTGCCCAGTCGGAGCGTTCATCTCGCCAAGCATCAGAGCAATTAGAGTCAAGGTTGCCTGCCGGTTGCATTTAGGCGAACGGGTGGGTGTGACTTTTGAGTCTACTCAAAAGTCAGGCATCCATCTCCCCGAGCATGTCTGTGATCTGACTCCCTCCGCTGCCTGCCTTTGAGGCGCCTCAAAAACTGTGAGTGCTTTTGAGGCGCCTCAAAAGCATCTCCCCAAGCATGTCTGTGATCTGACTCCCTCCGCTGCCTGCCGGTTGCATTCAGGCGAACGGGTGGGTGTGCCTATGGACTCACCACTTCCCCCGTGTGGCCTCGCAGCGTGTGCATGAGCTTCCAGTTCTCCACGCTCGGGGCGTCCATCTCCCCAAACACCAGAGATGTTAGGCTCAAGGTTGCAGGCTTAGTGAGTAAACCGTTACACGGAGCGAAGGGAGAGAGCTCACCACTTCCCCTGTGTGGCCTCGCAGTGTGTGCATGAGCTTCCAGTTCTCCACATTCGGTGCGCCCATCTCTCCAAACACCACGCTCCCCCGCCCCTCCCTCCTTCCGTACACGTGCACCGTCTGGTCGTCCGCTGCTGTGGCCAGATGCAGCCCATTGTGGGACCACCTGGCATGGTGGGTGGGTATGAGTGGTGGTATGGTATGTGGTGGTATGGTAGGAGAGCGTGAGCAAGGCGCACACTTGAATTCACCCCTCCCTCCTCCCCTACACATGCACTGTCTGGTCGTCCGCTGCTGTGGCTAAGTGCAGCCCATTGTGGGACCACCTGGTATGGTGGTGAGGATGGGCAACAGTGGGACGAGATTCACCTATCAGCAGTAAGCATCTCCCCAAACACCACGCGCCCCCTCCCCTCCCTCCTCCCGTGCACGTGTACTGTCTGGTTGGCCGCTGCTGTGGCTAAGTGGAGCCCATTGTGGGACCATCTGTACAGGAGGTGGGGGCCATGGTAAGCACGACATGAGTCTGGAGCATGCTACTTTGCACGCCCCCCCCTCCCCTCATGCTCTGGCTGGTCGTTTGCTGCTGTGGCTAAGTGCAGCCTGTTGTAGGACCACTTGTACGGGAGGTGGCTGCAAAGGTACGCAAGATACAAGTGAGTGAGCTAGGAGCAAACGCAACCGTACCCCTCCCCGCCCCTCCCCTCCGTCCTCCCGTACACATGCACTGTCTGGTCGTCCGCTGCTGGCCAGGTGGAGCCCATTGTGCGACCATCTGTAAGGGAGGTGGGGGGCAAAGGTAAGCACGAGTGAGTGCGCCAGGAGCAAACACAAGCTCGCTACTCCCCTCCCTCCTCCCGTACACGTGCACTGTCTGGTCGTCCGCTGTTGTGGCGAAGTGCAGCCCATTGTGCGACCATCTGTATGGGAGGAGGGGGCATAGGAAAGAAAGATATGAGTGAGTGAGCAAGGCGCACACGCAAGCTTGACCCTCCCCTCCCCTCCCCTCCCCTCCACTCCCCTCCGCGCCCCTCCCTCCTCCCGTACGCGTGCACTGCCTGGTCGTCCGCTGCTGTGGCTAAGTGGAGCCCATTGTGGGACCACCTGTCGTGGGGGATACGACGCAAGGCCAGAGAGACGTGAGCCCAGATCGCACTCTCTTACCGCGCCCCCTCTCTGCCTCTCTCTCACTGCCTGGTCGTCCGCTGCTGTGACTAGGTGCAAACCACTACCTGAGACTGTCAAAATCCCCTGAGATTGTTGGAATCACCTGAGACTGTTGGAATGATCTGAGACTGTTGGAATCACCTGAGACTGTTGGAATCACCTGAGACTGTTGGAATCACCTGACAGAGCTGACAGCCCCAAAATGGTCGCAGAGAGTGGCGAGGCGAGAGGGGAGCGAGGCATCTGACTCGGACTCAGGGGTAAGCAGCGGCGGCAGGCTCCAGATAACGGCCTGAAAGAGGGGGGAGGGGGGGGGAGGGGGGGAAGAGGGGATGTGGTGGGCGGGGGGGGGAAGGGGGGGGGGGGGGGGGGAGGCGGGGGGGATGAAAGAGAAGGAGACAATGGGGAGAGTGATGAACTCAAAGTAGCAAGGAGGGAGTAACCAGTGCATACATGGTCTGACAGAGGAATGAATCACGGGGGAAAGATGGGGAAGGGGGGAGGAGGGATAGGAAGACAAGAGGAGGGGAAGGGGGATAGGAAGACAAGAGGAGGGGAGGGGGATAGGAAGACAAGAGGAGGGGAGGGGGGATAGGAAGACAAGAGGAGGGGAGGGGGGATAGGAAGACAAGAGGAGGGGAGGGGGGATAGGAAGACAAGAGGAGGGGAGGGGGATAGGAAGACGAGACTAGGGTTATCTCTCTCGAGTCTCTCCCTCACATCGCGCCTCCCCCCTCCCGCACCTTGTGGTCCCCCCCGCCAGTGGCGAATCTTGTCCCATCCGGATGCACGTGAATCGCGAAAATCGCCTGTCCGCCGTGCGACACCCACGACGGCTTCACCAGTCGCATGGCGACGTGTGAGACAGAATCTCCCCTGTAACCAGTCACCGCGTGGACAAACTGCGCTCGTCGCACGACAGACGCATCTACCCTCGCCTTAGGATTTATCAAATGCAGGTTTCGTCGCCCGCTACCCACGCCTTAGGTCAGTCCCTATGCAATGAAAGTGACTCGTTCATTACTCGGCAAAAAATCAGATGCTATGCGACGTGAACCGCTCAAGGACACCGTCGCAGCACGGCGACATTCCATGCGAAAGTTAACGAACTCTAAGCGACGAAGGACGGCAGACTGATGCGAACTTGGCTGACATGCCTGCAGGTGAGTAATGCTCTTCATTGTTGCTGCTTCGATAGCGACTATAAAACGTTGGGCAGTCAACCAGTGCATCTACATTTTTACAAGGCCCATTTCAAAAGGAGTGCATAAAAAGAGTACGAAGGACACCATCCATACACGTATCGTTTTTATGATAATTCACGTGCAAATGATATGTTTTGGTTTTTTTTACATCACGGAAAAGCCAACATACATGAAATACTATCATGGATGGATGATAGACCCGAACCCAACGCCATCATAAATCTCCCATAAACTTATATTATAAATTACTTACTACAAAAATCCAATAAGTTTTTTTCTCTTCATAGTCGTGAATTTCTAATTTTACGATGGACCCATTTCATGCCCTACTATATGAACATGTGTTAAATTAGCGGGGCATTCAATTCAAGGTACAGTTTCTGCTCACTTGCCAAGGGCTTGCATGGAATTTGGAGATATTTCGGTGACCCACGAGATATTCTCATGGAGCAGAGCCAGCGTGGCACGAGGACGTATCTAGAAATCCTCTTCAGTTTAGACCCTTATTATTGCTAGAAGGGGCTACCTGTCCAGTCCACCCGATGTCAATATGAATTGTTTTCTGCCTGCTACTTGCGCCCTGAAGCCTTGTACTAGGACGTGAGATTGGAATTGTCCTTGCCTCCAGCTTTGGATCTGACACGATAAACGAGATAGGCCCTGAGCATCAAAACCTCGGCCAAAACCCCGCCACGGCCTGGTCCGCGCTCCCCCCCATTATAACTCCATCGCTCGCATCGTCCTCGTACTTTTTTGGGTTACTCGCAGCGGTTAGATAGAAGTTTCTTAGCCTCATCGCCTCATCGCCAGACATTCAGGAAACAGAGAACCCGCATTTCGGTTCGCCTGTGGTTCATTAGTCTCTAGGGTACGTTCAGATCCGTCTGTGCATTTGAGTGCTGGCGATTTTCTCAAGTCATCAGCGTGAATCGTTATTGCGCTCGTCCGCTTTCCGCCCACCGTCCCGCGAATACCCACCCGCCAGTATGCCCGCGTTAGGCCTTTCCGCCTCTGCCCCCGCCACCGCGCGCCACCGCGTCCCCGCGGAATCCGCGCACTCGCGCCTGCGGGGAGAACGCGCCAGTCTATCGGCACGGCGGATCGCCGCCCTTTCCTCGCTAACGTCATCCCGATCAGCGGCAGCGCGACGCGCAAGACTCGCGATCCGCGCGTCTTCTGGAGCGGGAGACGCGGCGGGAGATGCGGCGGGAAATGCGGGCAGGGGAGGGATGACGTACAAGGAGGCGGGCGTGGATATCGACGCGGGTGCTGAGCTGGTGAGGCGCATCGCGAAGATGACACCTGGCATCGGCGGATTCGGCGGGCTGTACCCGTTTGGTGAGATTGACGCTCGGTAGAATCACATTGTGGTACATTGACGACCATTGGCTGGTACTGGGAGATGCGAAAGTGACTATACTAGGCGTGGTCTTACAAATAATCGTATCTCACGGATAAATATATTGTGCACATGGCCTCAGAATTCTAGGGAAAAAGCATCACTTAGCCTCAGGAAAAGCATCATATATTTTGCGCGTGGACTCAGAAGTCGCAAAATATATGATGCTTTTCCTGGGAAGCCTTGGCTAAGTAGGTAAGTTTTTAGACGTCTCAAAGCTCTTTCGAGTCGACTTTTGAGTCTTTTGAGTCTCAAAGCTCTTTCTGGGACGCCTTTGCATGAAGCAGTCAAAGGGAATGTCGCCTTTGTATTCATGTGTAATGAGTCGATTTTTGAGTCGACTCAAAAATCGACTCATTACACACGCCTTAAAGCTCTTTCTGGGACGCCTTAAAGCTCTTTCTGGGACGCCTTAAAGCTCTTTCTGGGACGCCTTAAAGCTCTTTCTGGGACGCCTTAAAGCTCTTTCTGGGACGCCTTAGCACGAAGCAGTCGAAGGGAATGTCGCCTGTATTCACGTGTCGCCTGTATTCACGCCCAACATCACAGTGCGCCGTGCTTCTTAGGTAAGGCACATGCCACAGTGCGGGGGGGAACGTAGGATAGGCGTGCAGAGGGAAGCCATATGTCGCATGTATTCAAGCCCAACACCACATTGTCGTGTCACCTTGCGAAGTGCTTCTAAGGAACGTGCCACAATGCGGGGGGGGAACATTGGATAAGCTCGAACTGTTTGCAGAGCGAAGTCACGTATCCCCGTTTTTGGCTGTTTCAATCGCACCGTGCTTCAATCTGATGCGAAAGTGGGCCTTTTCTATCTCAGGTGACGATTACCTTGTAGCGGGTACGGACGGAGCGGGCACGAAGCTGAACCTGTAGCTGCCTTTCGCGATAGGAACTATGCGTGTCTCAGAACTACTTCCTTATTCGTTTGACTTTCGCAGGTGACGACTACCCTGTAGCGGGTACGGACGGGGTGGGCACGAAGCCGAATCTGCCTTCCACAAGAAAAGCAAACGCTCACATGTGTCCAAAAATCACTTGCATGCTTTTCTCCCAGGTGACGACTACCTTGTAGCGGGTACGGACGGGGTGGGCACGAAGCTGAAGTTGGCTTTCGCAATGGACAAGCACGACACCATCGGCATCGACCTGGTAAGGCGCTACGTTGACTCGCGTTGACCCGCGTTGACTGACGTTGACCTGACTTGGCCATTTCATCCGGCGCCCGCCCTCTCTGCTTCCTCCTGCCAGTGCAATCCACCTCGGCTTAGCCCTCTCCGCCCTGCTCTTCCTCTCACCCCGTCCCCACCCCACCAGGTGGCAATGAGCGTCAACGACATTGTGACGTCCGGCGCCCGCCCTCTCTTCTTCCTCGATTACTTCGCCTCCAGCAAGCTGGAAGTGGACCAGGCGGAGCAGGTGAGCTGCAGGGATCGTATTGTGCGGTGCTGAAGGGTTTACAACGGTTGCACACCGCGTGAGACAGCCGTGCTGCTCCTCTCTTCTTCCTCGACTACTTCGCCTTCAGCAAGCTGGAAGTGGACCAGGCGGAGCAGATGAGGGCTGATTATTGCTGAAGGGTTTAAGGGGGGCTTAATCAGGCCCGAGTGCCATTGCGCCCTCTCTCCTTCCTCGATTACTTCGCCTCGAGCAAGCTGGAAGTCGATTAGGCCGAGCAGGTAAGCGGGTGAGGAGAGCAACCGCTTAGCCGGGTCACAGCAGGGCACGAGTGGCCTCCAGCAAGCTGGAAGTCGATTAGGCCGAGCAGCAGGTAAGCATGTGAGGAGAGCAACCGCCTAGCCGGGTCACAGCAGGGCACGAGTGGCCTCCAGCAAGCTGGAAGTCGATTAGGCCGAGCAGGTAAGCGTGTGAGGAGAGCAACCGCTTAGCCGGGTCACAGCAGGGCACGAGTAGCCTCCAGCAAGCTGGAAGTGGATTAGGCCGAGCAGGTAAGCGTGTGAGGAGAGCAACCGCCTAGCCGGGTCACAGCAGGGCACGAGTAGCCTCCAGCAAGCTGGAAGTGGATTAGGCCGAGCAGGTAAGCGTGTGAGGAGAGCAACCGCTTAGCCGGGTCACAGCAGGGCACGAGTGGCCTCCAGCAAGCTGGAAGTGGATTAGCAGGGATGGTACTGTTGGGTGCTGAAGGGTTTACAGTGGTTCTACCAGTTATAAGGTATGTAATGGTTTACAATGGGCGGCTGCAAGCAGTCCTGTCAGGCTGTGCGCTGCTGTGCGAGTGTGCAGATCAGATTTTATGGGTTGATCTCTCTCCCTCTCGTCCCCCCACCACCACCACCACCCCCACCAGGTGATCAAGGGCATTTTGGACGGCTGCAAGCAGTCGGATTACTGTGCTGACCACCCTGTACACACATGTGCATCCCTCTACACCCCTCTAAAGCGGTCCATGTATTATTGATACCTGGGTACAATCGAGACAAGTGAGAGGAGTCTAGGCAAGTCTGTCTCTTTCCGTCTCATCCCCATCAGGTGATCGAGGGAGGGCATCGTGGACGGCTGCAAGCAATCGGACTGCGTGCTGCTGTGCTGACTACCCCGTACGAGCATTCACACACTCCTCTCTCCCCCTCCGTCTCACTATCTCTCTCCCTGCCTCCCCGCCACCACCACCCCATCAGGTGATCAAGGGCATCGTGGACGGCTGCAAGCAGTCGGACTGCGTGCTGCTCGGAGGGGAGGTACGTGAGAGATAACTGGGGGGGGGTGTTTGTGACGGTTCGGTCTTGCATGGGTGCTTGAGTCTGGGTGCAAGCAGTCGGACTGCGTGCTGCTGGGAGGGGAGACAAGCGAGAGAGAACCGGTGGGGTGATTTTTGAGTCGACTCAAAAATCAACTAGGGGGGTGTATGTGAAGGTTTGGTCTCGGTTTAGTCCTGGTGGGTGGGCGGCTCATCCTTTGGTGCAAGAAGCCGGGCTGCGTGCTGCTGGGAAGGGAGATAAGAGAGAGGCAGTGTGTGAGGGCGGTACAATACACAGATGTGTGAGGAGGGGTGCAGATGTGTGAGGAGGGGTGCAGATGTGTGAGGAGGGGTGCAGATGTGTGAGAGGGGGTGGTATGCATGTGTCACAGTGTTTGGATCCTGCTGGCAAGTAGTCAGACTGCGCTGCTGGGAGGGGAGGTGTGACGGAGGTTTAGGGGAGACTATGTTTCCTTAATCTCTTACTCTTGTGTTCCCTCCCTTTCCCCCCTCTACCCCCCTCACCCTACCAGACTGCGGAAATGCCCGGATTTTACGCGGATGGGGAGTACGACCTGAGCGGGTTTGCAGTGGGAGCTGTGAAGAAAGCTGCGCTTATAGATGGATCCAATATAAGGAAAGGCGATAAGATCATTGGGCTGCCGTCGTCCGGCCTCCACTCCAACGGGTTTTCACTCGCTAGAAGGTGAGATGAGATGAGATGAGATGAGATGAGTAGCAGGGAAGACAGCTGCACTTACAGACGGATGCAGTACTAGGAAGGGCGATAAGATCATTGGGCTGCCGTCATCTGGTCTACACTCCAACAGATTCTCCCTCGCTAGAAGGTGAGGTGATAGCAAGTGAATGTAAGCAGGATTCCATTTTGGGTTTCGGGTTTCGGGTTTCGTGTTTTGGGTTAGGGCTTTGAGTTTCGGGTTTTCGGCTTTGGGTTTGGGCATGATTGGGCTGCCTTCATCTGGGTTACACTCCAACGGATTCTCCCTCACTAAAAGGTGCGTTGAGAGGTTAGTGAATGGTTAGTCTGGAGTTATTTCAGATTCTTTTTTCTCATTCTACTCACGCCTTCCCTTTCTGCTTCCCTCTCGCCCCCTTCCCCACCCCGCATTCCTCTCCTCTGTGGTTGACGCCAGGGGAGCGTCCCTTTGAAACCCTCCCCATGATCAGCATTGGGCCTCTCACCTCCTTCTTCCCCCCCCCCCCCCCCCCCAAGAGTGGTTGACGCCAGAGGGGCTTCTCTCCCCGACCCCCTCCCAGGCTCCTCATCGTTCCGCCTCTTCCCACCCCTCCCTCCCTCTCCCCCCCCCTCCCTCTCCCCCTCCCCAGAGTGGTTGACGCCAGTGGGGCTGCTCTCTCAGACCCCCTCCCAGGCGCCCCTGCCGGTGTGACTATAGGGGGCGCTCTGCTGGAGCCCACTGTAATCTATGTGCGCCAGGTGATGGAGATTGTAAAGGGGGGAGGCGTGCACGGCATCGCGCACATTACCGGGGGAGGCTTTACTGAGAACATTCCCAGAATCTTCCCTGCGGGCTTGGCGGCAAAGGCGGATATGACTGCCTGGGAGGAGCCTCCTATTTTCAAGTGGCTCAGAAAGGTGAGTTATTATGTTTCCAGCTATCTGCTGTTTGCCCCCAATGTGTATCTGCTGTTTTCTGCTTTCTGCTGTCTTGTGCTTCGATGTGTAACCAATGTCCTGATTGCTCCCTTTCCTCCGCTCCTCTCTAGGCCGGCAATATCGCTGAAGATGAGATGCGACGTGTATTCAACCTCGGCATTGGCATGGTGCTTATAGTGGATGCCGAGGCTTCTGAGCGCATATTAGAGAGCAACCCGACGGCCGTGCTTGTAGGAGAGGTGGTGGAAGGGGAAGGTGTTATTTTCTCATAACCTGGCATTGCAACATTGTACGCGTAGAGAAACTGAATAACTCATTGTGGGTTGGCATAGATTTCGATGAAGATGAGATGTGGCATGTTCTCACGCTGGGCTCAAAGGCAAAAGGGCAGTAGGGGTTGGTGGACCAGGCTTCTAAGCACATATTAGATGGAACCCTTCACCTGTGTTGGTAGTAGTAGGCGAGGTGGTGGAGGTGGGGGGAGAGTGAGTATTCCTTGCTCACAAATTCGAACGATAGCATTGACTATATGTGATCCCGCTATAGCATTGCATGATTTTTCCACATTGATTGTTTAGTCTTGTGATAATGACACACTTCTGACATTATTTAGGAGGTGGCTTGGACCGCGACTTGACCTGCAATTTCGCACGGTCCTGCGACAATAACGAGGATGCCACAACTTCCAGGTCTCCCGCACTCTGAAATTTCCGAAACGTGTGGTTTTGAGATTCCCGCGCAAACGCGGCCTGGTGGTAACTTCTAGGCGAGCCTATCCAAGGCCTATCAGCCGGCATTTCCCGGTCAGCCATATACCGTACTCCGAATTTGGGAATCTTAGTATGGCTGAGACGAACAAAACTTCAGGTTTCTTAGCTTGCACCGTTGCCATGTTCTGTCTTAGCGCTTCCATGTGGCTTTAGTAGTTCCTTATAGGTCACCGCTTCTTTCCGTTTTCCGATTTCCGTTTCGCGTAGCGCAATCCTCGGAGTGAGAAGAATCCAGTGTGGGAGTCCATTATTGAGAATTCTAAAAACTCTTTCGCGTAGCGCATCCCCTGAGTGAGGAGAACGAAGCGTGGGAAAAAAATGGTGCCGTCCTACCTGTGTAAAAGATTGTGTCGTTTTTCTTTGTAAGCCTACCAAAGCAGCGGCAATATGAGCAGATAATAAGCGCGGAAATCAGGCGTCCATTGCGCCTACTTAGGGTCACCATGTCTATCGAATCAGCAGCTGCTAGCTAGGAGCAAATCAGGACTGCATAAACCGTACGATAGCGCATTGTACCGCGCTTGAGCCGTTAAATCTCCCTTCGTTACGACCGTCCCCGCGTCTCCACCACTTCTGCCTCTCTTTTCCTGTAGCTCCTCCCATGCGGTCCAAGGCTGGTAGGCGGCATAGCCGGTAAGTGAAGATTTGTTCAGTTTCCTTATTTTACCAAATTCAGTCAATCAAGTCTTATTAGTGTTCTCAGGAATTCTCTCTTTTGCTGTTGCTCCCATGCGGTCAAAAACTTTCCGAAGGTGCGTTCTTTCCGAAATACGCATCCGCAGCCCACGTACAAGTCACCCACCGAGAATTCACATTCACATTTGATACACGCATTATTGCAACTCATACATTTTGTTACGCTTCATTGTTACTCCCATCCATATTGCACGATTCTGTTACGTTCATCATCGAGTTACATCCATCCTCGTTACATTCATCCACAGGCACTTCGGAGAAAGGCGTTCGTTTTTCGCCTCCTACTGCTCCCTTGAGCGCGTGCTGCTGCTTGCGCTGCTCTGCGCCTTTGCCTTCAACATAATCCCCAGGTGAGCCCTTAGCTCCGTGTAGTTTTTGAGTCGACTCAAAAGCAGGTGAGCCCTTAGCTCCATGTGCTGAGATCCTTGGTTTCAATGCCCTTCTTACGTTCGCCTCCTACTGCTCCCTTGAGCGCGTGCTGCTCTGCGCCTCTGTGCCATCCCGTGCCACCCATGCCATTTCAAGCTGCTCCGTCCCGTGCCTGGACCCTCCATTCCACGCCATGCCATGCCACCCATGCCATGCCACCCATGCCATGCAACCCATGCCATGCCACCCATGCCATGCAATCCATGCCATGCCACCCATGCCATGTCACTCCATACCTTATCATGCTGGTCCACATCATTCCTCGACCGTCCCATTTCACGCCATGCCATGCCATGTCACTCAATCAGACCGTACTCGAGGCGGAGTCTTGCTGACGAGGACAACTTACCTAGCCTCCGAACCTCCTCCTCAGGCTTGGGCGAGAAAGCCAAAGCCGAGCCTGACGAAGAGGATCGGGTGTATGACTGGGTAGATGGAGAATTCAAGCTGCGGTCAGGTGCGGATGAGGATGAGGAGGAAAGGGGAGAGGAGGAAGGGGAGGAAGGAGGGGAGGAGATCAGTAGGATAGGGGAGAAGTGGATTGACATAGCAAAGAGGCGGAGAGAGATGGGAGTAGGTGGAGGGGGATTAAGAGGATTGGGAGAAACTGGATCGGAAGGTCATATGGGGAAGAAGAAAGGGAGGAAAGGGAGAGTGAAGGGGAAGAAAAGGCGGCGACTGCCGAATGAGAAGCTAAGGAAGCAGCAGGAGGAGGAGCAGCGGCACGGGCTGTCAGGAGAGGTCGCAGGAGGGGGTGGTGAGGAGAGGGGGGATGAAACCGGAGAGGGAATGGGAGGCCGGTGGTTAAGCAGTGAGAGGTTCCAGGGGCCAGGAGGGGAGGTGTGGGGGGCGGATGACTATGGGGGAAAGTGGGGGTTTGGTGGGGGGAGGGAGGAGGTGGATATTGAGAGTGTGGGGGTGGAGAGTCTTGAGGGGGAGAGTGAGGAGGAGAGGGAGGAGAGGAGGGAGCTGGAGGAGGATGGGCTGCCGCCTCTGCAGGAGGGGAGTGGAGGGGTCTGGAGCGAGAAGGAGAGGCAGCTTTGGGAACAGGTGAGGAATGCATGACTTGTGTTGCTTGAGAGTAGCTGGAGTATGCCTATTTGAGACCCTAAACCCAGGAGAGGGAGGAGAGGAGGCAGCTGGAGGGGGATGGGTTGCCGCCTCTGCAGGAGGCGAGTGGCGGGGTGTGGAGTGAGAAGGAGAGACGGCTCTGGGAACAGGTGAGGGGGCTGGGTAGGGCTGAGGGGGGTTGGGTAGGGCTGAGGGGGGCTGGATACGGCTGAGGGGGGCTGGATAGGGCTGAGGGGGGTTGGACAGGGCTGAGGGGTTTGGACAGGGCTAAGGGGGGTTACGGCTGGGCATGAGGCTGCTTGAGAATGACCCTCTACATTCGCCCCAATTGATTGACAAAAAACTCGCAGATTCTGTATTTACCACAAAGCCCTTGATGAAAATGACTCAACTGATGCTTCCCCCGCCTTCCACTCTTTCCCCCTTCCCCCCCCCATCCTCCCCCTCCTCCCCCCCCCCCCCCCCTCGCGCACACACTTCCACAACCCAGCCGCCTTCCCTTGGTCTCAAGCCGTGTCTGCGCCCCTTCCCCACCTACCGCAACCACTCCATAGAAGCCTTGAACCGAGGGCGGTACCCGGTGGCAGTGGTGACTGGAGGGCTCAATCAGATGCTAGTTGAAGCCTCATTTCCTCATACCCCCTTCCTTCTGGCCTCCCCTTCCTCCGCCTCCCAGCCTCCTTCCCTTGGTCTCAGGCCATGTCTGCGCAACTCCCTCACCTACCGCAACCACTCCATAGAGGCGCTCAGCCGAGGGCGCTACCTGGTGGCAGTGGTGACGGGGGGCTCAGCCAGATGCAGCTGCAGATAGGAACCCATGTTTCCTCTTCCCCCCACCTTTTTCCCAACCTCCATCCACACTCCTTTCCGTACCAGCCTCCCTCCCTTGGTCTCAGGCCGTGTCTGCGCAACTCCCCCACCTACCGCAACCACTCCATAGAGGCGCTCAACCGAGGGCGCTACCTGGTGGCAGTGGTGACGGGGGGGCTCAACCAGATGCGGCTGCAGATAGGCAATGCTGTGGTTATCGCTCGCATTCTTAGGGCAGTGCTGGTGGTGCCGGTGCTGCAGGAGAACAACATCTGGCACGATAGGAGGTGTGTGCTGGGGAAGGTGGGTGGGAAGGAAGGTGATTGCCCTGCAGACAGGCAATGCTGTCGTTATCGCTCGCATCTTGAGGGCTGTGCTGGTGGTGGTGCCGATGCTGCAAGAGAACAACATCTGGCACGATAGGAGGCGAGGAAGTGTGGTGTGGTGGGGCAGGGTAGGGTAGGGTGGGGAGTGGTGATGGGGGGGGCTGAACCAGATGCGGCTGCAGATAGGCAATGGTGTCATCATTGCTCGCATCTTGAGGGCTGTGCTGGTGGTGCTGGTGCTGCAGGAAAACAACATCTGGCACGATAGGAGGTGAGAGAGGGGGTGATTGGAGGAGGAGCAAGAGGAGGAAGAGGTAGCATGGAACCTGTGGGGGGGGGGGGCTCAACCAGATGCGGCTGCAGATAGGCAATGCTGTGGTTATCGCTCGCATTCTTAGGGCAGTGCTGGTGGTGCCGGTGCTGCAGGGGAACAACATCTGGCACGATAGGAGGTGAGAGAAGGGGGCAGGGGGGAGTAGGAGGGATTGACGGTGGCAGTGGTGACGGGGGGCCTCAACCAGATGCGGCTGCAGATAGGCAGTGCAGTGGCTGTTGCGCGGATCCTCACAGCCGTGCTGGTGGTGCTGTTGCTGCCGGAGAACAACATCTGGCACGATAGGAGGTGAGTGCTGGGGAAGGAGGTTGGGAAGGAAGGTGATTGCACTGCAGACAAGCAATGCTGTCGTTATCACTCGGATCGTGAGGGCTGTGCTGGTGGTGGCGCCGGAGCTGCAGGAAAACCACGTCTGGCACACGATAAGAGATGCGTGTGTTGGGGGAAAGTGGGATGGAAACTGGGGTGGGGGGGTTCAACCAGACGCGGCTGCAGATAGGGGAGCGCGGTGTTTATCGCACAGATTTTGAGGGCGGCGCTGGTGGTGCTGGCGGTGCTGGCGGCGCTGGCTGCGCTGGTGGTGCTGGCGGTGCTGGCGGCGCTGGTGGTGCTGGCGGTGCTGGCGGCGCTGGTGATGCTGGTGGTGCTGGTGGTGCTGGTGGTGCTGGTGGTGCTGGTGGTGCTGGTGGTGCTGGTGGGTGCAGGTGGTGCTGCTGGTGCTGCTGGTGCTGCTGGCGGTTCATGGCAAAGTGCTTCACGATAGGAGGTGTGCAAAGTGGGAAGTGGTTCACGATAGGAGGTGGTTCACGATAGGAGGTGTGCAAAGTGGGAAGGAGGATAGGTGCTTGCACAACTTATTCTCCTTTCCACATCTTCCACTCTTTTCCCCTTTGTTTATCGCTACAGTGAGTTTGCGGAGATATTCGACGTGCCTCACTTCCAGCGGGTGTTACGCAACGAGGTGAGGGTGGTAACCACCCTGCCACCCCACTACCTGCGCACCGCACCCGACGAGAAGCTTCCTCCCACGGGCTCCACACCGGAATGGATCATCTCCCACCTCCTGCCACCGGTTAGTCACCCTCTTAGCTAAGTACTGAGGACATTTTAGTGTGGGAAAGTTGGCATCTAGTCACAAGCCGCCTCCTATGGCTCCACACCAGGGTGAACACAGGACGGGAGGGTTTTCGGCCATGACGTTTTCACCTTTTCCCCCCTGTAAGTGCCTCCAATTACACGGTCTTTTATTCCCTTCGTTCCGGTGCTCTCTGGTGCCTCTTCTCCATTCCCCTGTATCCCCCCCAACAATTCCCCATACCTCTCCATGGTTCTCCCCCCATCCGCTCATGTATCCCTCGCTGATTCTCCCTACATTCCACATTTACCCATTCCCCCATTCCCTCATATACCCATCTGCCATCCCCCATCGCCAACCTCTTGTTCCAACCGTCTGATCCTCTGCACCAGCTTCGTCGGCAGCACAGTGGTTAAGTAGTTTATTTTCAGACGTCTCGAAACTAAACTACTTCACCTTTTTAGACGTCTCAGAACCAACCTACTACACCTTTTGAGTCGTCTCAGAACCAACCTACTTCACCTTTTTAGACGTCCCAGAACCAACCTACTTCACCTTTTTAGACGTCTCAGAACCGACCTACTACACCTTTTTAGACGTCCCAGAACCAACCTACTTCACCTTTTTAGACGTCCCAGAACCAACCTACTTCACCTTTTTAGACGTCCCAGAACCAACCTACTTCACCTTTTTAGACGTCCCAGAACCAACCTACTTCACCTTTTTAGACGTCCCAGAACCAACCTACTTCACCTTTTTAGACGTCTCGGAACCATCGCCTGCCTCTTGTTCCTACCGTCTGGTCCTCCGCACCAGCTTCGCCGGCAGCACATCCTCCTTATAAGCTGCCTCGACCAGAGCAGAACCCCATGAAATCACCTAGTTGGCTTCAGCAGTTGCGGGTCTCACCCTATTTTTCCCACTTCCTTACCCCACCTCCCTTCCCACCTCCCTTCCCACCTCCCCACAAGGTTTACCGGCAGCACGTACTCCTTATAAGGGGTTTGGACCAGGCCATAACCCCGGATGGTTTACCCACCGAGCTGTAGAAACAACAGGTCTCAACCTCTCGAGTCTCCCTATTCATCCACCCACCACACTACCCGACCCCGTCACCCTCTCCCCACCAGCTTCGCCGGCAGCACGTCCTCCTTATAAGAGGCCTCGACCAGGCCATAACGCCCGACCTCCCTAGGGAACTCCAGAAACTGCGCTGCAAGGTCGAATTCCACGCCCTGAGATTCACTCAGCCGATCCTGACCCTCGGTCAGAAGCTCGTCTCCCGGATGGCTGCATCTGGGCCGTTCATCGCGCTGCATCTACGGCTGGAGCCAGACGTGTGGATCCGGACCGGATGCTACCCGAGGCTCGGCCCGGAGCTAGATGCGGCAGTGGATCGGGAGAGGGCGGGGCGGCCGGACCTGCTGACGGGGCGGCTGAATCTGAGTGCTGAGGAGAGGTTTGCTGCGGGGCTGTGCCCTCTGACTGCTGATGTTGTTGTGCGGTGAGTGGTGCTTTCCTTCCCCGACCCCACCTTGATTGAGCGCCCTACACAAGGATAGCCTGGCTCTGCCTATCTCTCCCCCCCGCCCCTCCTATCTCTCTCTCCCACTCCGCATCCTGCGGATCTCTGCCTGCCCATCCTGCCCTGCCCTCCCCGTTCCCACCGAATCTTTGTCTTCCCTCTTCCCCTAATCCCCTTCTGATTGGTCGCTCCTACCCTCTTCCCCTCGTCCCCTCGTCCCCTCGTCCCCTCGTCCCCTCGTCCCCTCCTCCCCTCCTCCCCTCCTCCCCTCCTCCCCTCTTCCCCTCCAGTCTTCTCAAGTCCTTCGGAGCGACCAATCGCACGCGAGTGTTCTGGGCGGGCGCGGAGCCAATGGGGGGAGCGCAGCTGGCGCTGGCGCCCCTGTGGATGTCCTTTTCAGCCGTGCACAGCAAGGAGAGCCTGGCTCTGCCGGGGGAGCTGCAGGTGTTTTCGCGGCAGGCGAACATCCTGGCTGCTTTGGACTTCATCATCTGCGCCAGCAGCCATGTGTTCATGCCGTCGCATGGAGGCAACATGGCGCATGTGATTCAGGTAGGAGGGAGTATAGCACACAAGGCAGGCGGACATCCTGGCTGCGTTGGACTTCTCATATGTGCGAGCAGCCATGTGTTCATGCCATCGCATGGAGGCGGCCCATGTGATCCAGGTATGCATGAAGATGCTTCAGGACTTGGGGTTTAAAGTCTTGGCTTTCAGGGTTTGGGGTTTGGGGAGGTCTGTGTCAGCCGTGCACAGCGAAGTGAGCCTGGCACTGCCGGGGGAGCTGAAGGTGTTTACCTTGCAGGCGAACATTCTGGCTGCATTGGATTTCATTATATGTGCGAGCAGGCATGTTTTCATGCCATCCAGGTAGGAGTCTTTATGTATATCTGCATGCGTGTGCACATGCCATTGGACTTCATTATATGTGCGAGCAGCCACGTGTTCATGCTGTCGTATGGCAGCAACAGGTGCATGTCATCAAGGAATGGATGGGGTGATATGGGGCAATATGGTGCATGTCATTCTGGTATGGATGGGGTGATATGGGGCAATATGGCGCATGTCATTCTGGTATGGATGGGGTGATATGGGGCAATATGGCGCATGTCATTCTGGTATGGATGGGGTGATATGGGGCAATATGGCGCATGTCATTCTGGTATGGATGGATGATATGGGGCAATATGGCGCATGTCATTCTGGTATGGATGGGGTGATATGGGGCAATATGGCGCATGTCATTCTGGTATGGATGGATGATATGGGGCAATATGGCGCATGTCATTCTGGTATGGATGGGGTGATATGGGGCAATATGGCGCATGTCATTCTGGTATGGATGGATGATATGGGGCAATATGGCGCATGTCATTCTGGTATGGATGGGTGATATGGGGCAATATGGCACATGTCATTCTGGTATGGATGGGGTGATATGGGGCAATATGGCGCATGTCATTCGGGTATGGATGGGGTGATATGGGGCAATATGGCGCATGTCATTTGGGTATGGATGGGGTGATATGGGGCAATATGGCACATGTCATTCGGGTATGGATGGGGTGATATGGGGCAATACGGCGCGTGTCATTAAGGTGTAGCTGGATGATATGGGGCAATATGGCGCATGCATAAGAGAGAGAGGGGGTGAGAAATGGGAGCAGCTGGAGGTGCTTTCAAGGCAGGCGAACATCCTGGCTGCAGTGGGCCAGCAGCCGTGTGTTCATGCCGCCATTGCATGGCGGCAACATGGCACATGTGATGCAGGTATGGAGGTTATGGCCCACGTGTTCCAGCCAGGTACGTGTGTTCGTGTGCATGCTTGTACCTCCAAAATTATAACACTGTTTTGAAATGTCCTGGTGGTGTGAGCCAGGTGCTATAGTAGACACTAGGTAGCTTCAAATGCTATGATGCAGATTTCCCTGCCTTAATCTTTCATGCTGCTTGTCATGCTCTTCCCCTCCATTCGCTTTCCAGGGACATCGCACCTATTTTGGCCACAGCAAGACAATAATGCCTAATAAGCGCAAGATTGTGAAGCTGTTGCTTGAGGAGCAATCGGGGGGTGTGGATGGACGTCCGTTGACGGAAGAGGAGTTTGAGAAAGCAATGGTTGAGATTCATCGAGACTCTATTGGGCAACCACAGTTGCGCACACATAAAAAGGGCAAGGATGCGATAATGTACCCCGTCCCTGACTGCATGTGTAAAAGAAACTCATTATAGGGTACCTCAACTGCATCCGAATGATTGTGCCGTTCTCCTACAATTTCGTCATCAAATTCTTGAAGTCCATGTGATTGATCGGATGATACTTAAACTAGTTTGTAATTTGCAACCCTTCAAGTTGTTATGAGTACTACCTTGTATCAGTACTTTCATAAGCTAGAAGACTTTGTGATAATGGATTCAACTTGCTCAACAATTATTATAGAGGGTGTGTGAGTACTTGGTAATGAGTTAGCCTTTGCGAGTGGTAAGGCGTGGTGCTTACAGTTCCGGTTCTCGAAAATACGGAACTAGTGCCGGATTTCGTGAGACATTTGCCCGTAAGGGCATTGGCGAAACCCTATCCAAATGTGCTGCGAATCGCGTATCCAGCCCGAGTTCCGTTTTTTTTTGTCGAGAACCGGAACTGTAAACTCCACGCCCTAAATCTCGTGCACAGAACCGACCATTCCCCAGAACGAGTTGGGATATTTCTTTGTCGGTCTGTGTAACCCTGCCCGTGGTTGGAATCGCGGGCACTGCAAATCCAGGTGCGATGAAACTACCTGCGATGAGCGACTTCTGAAATTGTTGTAAGAGAGTCGCCCTCCCCCCATTGCGACCAGTAGAATATCTGAACGACGTCGTTCACACAGCACATTGTCGGCTCAAGCCGCAAGGACGGTACTGTAATGCCCCAATTGTGTCGGCAACACTGTCGCCAGCGTCGCAGCAGAACGAAGGGAAGGTTTGGTGCAGGCAAGTTGGGCAAATTCTCAGCAAGCATATAATCGTCGCAGACGCGACTATTGTTCATCGCCAACTCAAGTTCAGCCCATCCCCAACAGCTCCTAGATTCGACACACGCCAATTTTTTTTCTGCTGCGACAAATTCCTGAGTCTCAGCGACAGACCGATCACTTCCTGCGCCATGACGACCCCCATCTCTCACTCAACCCTGATCTTCGTCGTTCTCGCTGGATGTGCAATTATCGCGTCTGCGATTCAGGCACCCAAGTCTCTTTCGCCGTTCGACGAAGCCGTTCAGAAGCTGAATAACTCGGGTTACACCAGCTTCGTCTCCCTCGTCAGCGCATATGGTACGCCACGATTCGCTTCGTCATTCCGTCGCTCTTCGCGAACCCTTCCTCCCGGCTTGCCACATCCCTTACACCTTCGTCTTCATGGCCCTCCCTACATCTTCTCAATTCCCATTTCCCAACGTTGATCAACTGAACCAAAGATTTCCCCCAACATCATGATGATTGCGTCTCGAGAAATGGCCGCCTAATTTTCGCCGTTCCATTCGACCCCTCCCCGTCCCCCTCACAGGAAAGATGAAGCAGGTCAAGGCGGCTCTCTCCCAGCCGCTCACCATGCTTGTCCCCAGCAACGCCGCGATCGCCAAGGTCAAGATAACGAGTTACTCTACAGCGCAGCTGTCCACAATCGTCATGTTCCACGCGATCAAAGGCGTCACTCCCTTCCAGAAGCTGCGAAGCCTCCCGAAGAACACCACGCTTCCGACTCTCTCCACCGACCTCAAGTCCAAGAAGACTCAGTCTCTAACGAAGCTCTCCCCGCCGAAGGCGCGCTGGGTGGCCATCCAGGGCAAGGCGGGGAGCAAGCTGATGATCACTAAGGGTGACTTTTACCTTAAAGCCGGGAAGCTGGCGGTTCACACCACGGACGCGATTGTGTTTCCCGTGGGAATGAAGTGAAGCGGCGATGATCGAGGAGCGGCTACAAATCTGGTGGCCGGCTAATAATCGGGAGGGCATTTCTAGGTCAGGGTGCGAAAACTTCAAACATTGGCGTTAATAAGTGACGGTGGATTGAAGGATGATTACAGGCACCGTAGGAATGGGCGAATAGCACGTTTTTGCAAAAGGTGGGCATTCTTAGTCGATTAAGTTATGCAATTGTGAAGTAAGTCCTAAACGAGCAGAAATGCAATGCTTGGCATTAAATCCGTTCCCCTTTCGTGGCTTGAAGCTGCTAACGTTGCCAAGCGCTAGTCTTCCACTTGCGCTTTTCCCCAATACCGCACCCAACCATTCCAGATTGTTGTTCGCTGGCTCTTAGAAGCAAAGCAACTTACTGCAGCGCAGTCAAACTGCTGGGAAGCGCCGACTACCTTCAACAGCTGCGAGTCTTTATAAAATGGTGAGTCGTGTCTTTAATTACCATTGCGCAAGAGAAATCCTCAGAAATTCCCTGTGACACGACACGACAATTTTTCATAAATTCTCTGTGAGTCGTGTCTTTAATTCTCATTGCGCAAGTCTTGACCATAACCCAGGAGAGAATTCATGTGGGAAGATGGAAGGAATCAGGATTTAGAGGATCCCACATGTGAAGGGATGATGTGAACCGGGAGTTTGGACAGTGACATCTGCTAGTTTGCGTGGGCACGTACATGCTCACATTTGCGTTTGGCATTTTCAACCATCACAGTAAGCATTTATGCTCAATTTATTTCCATCAAAACAACGTGACCGTTGGGCCAACACGCGGTTTAAATTCTCAAAAAAAGCAACGAACGGGAGATGCGGGATTAGTTACTCGAACCGAGCGAATTTTTTAAGGTCGTATAATGACATGGACAAGACGCAGCTTCATGTGCGTTGGCTAGTCCTATCCCAGAACCTAACGCTGAAAGAGCAACTAAACGTTACTGTTTCACTAGGCATGCCAAAAGCTTCGGAAGCTTCAGTTATTTCAGCGCCGACGACCGCTGCTTCTCAATGAGCTGCTTACAGCACGGTGCCCTGCAGCGTGGTGGGGAAGGCGACGGCGTCGGTGGTGTGCACGACGAGCTTGCCGGTCTTGACGTAGAAGTTAAGCTTGGTGATGGTCATGGTGCTGCCCTTCTTCCCCTGCAGCACCAACTGCCCCTTCTTGTTGTTCGCAAGCTTCTGCAGCGTCATGGGCTTGCCCGCCTTGGTGCTCGCGAGCGTCGTGATGTTGCTCCCCACGGGCAGGCTCTTGAGCGCGTCGGCCGGAATGACCTTCTTGAACGCCGAGAACCCCACCACCACCATCAGCTCCGTGGACTTGTACTTGGTGATCTGCAGCTTGCTGATCGCCGTGTTCGACGGCACCAGCATGGTCAGGGGCTTCGCGAGCGCGGCCTTCACTTCCTTCATCTTGCCTGCAGGGGAGAGAGAGGGCGAGGGGAAGGAAAGATGTTAAAGACAAAGGAATGAACGAATTCGGAACTGAAAATTGTGTCAACTCGCGGTTTCTTCGGTGCGTCGTGATTTTTTCCAGTGCTTACGGTAGGCATTGACGAGCGACACGAAGCTGGTGTATCCCGACTGGTTGAGCTTCTGAATCGCCTCGTCGAACGGCGTCAGCGGCGCGGCCGGCGTCCCCGCAGTCGTCTTCCCCGGAGTTGCTGGTGTAGCGGGTGTTGTCTTGGGGGCAGTTGTCGTTTTCGGCGCTGTAGTTTGAGCCGAGCAGACGACAGCCAGGCCCACGAGGGCAAGGAGGAACAGAGTGGATCGAGAGACGGCCATGGCTGCCGAAAGAGGATTCAGCGAGTAACACAAAAGTCGCCTCTTGCGGGGTTTCCTAGAGCCACGGATGGACTAGGAGAGGCAAGAGTGCGGATGACGGTGGTATGAGATCTATCGAGCTGCGTGCTTAGACACTGGAAGATTAGAGAGTTGATCGTGGAATGGTGAGATTACGGACTGAAGGGCTCGAATTTGTATCTATGCCGAATGATCGGAATCTCGGTCGGGTGCCTGCGGCGGAACGGATTGGGTGAAGGTCGGAAGAAATTTGCGAAGCTGGCGGGCCGCGCGCTGCGAATTTTCGCCTGCGAAATTTGGCGCCATCGCGCTTCGGACCGTCGGCAAGCGGCAATGTCGGTGTCGCCCTTGTGGGAGCACGTTCGGGAGGAAACGTGCGGTGAGGACCCGCGGAGCGCCCCTGAGGTCCTGCAAAATCGACCCCAGCGCAATCTACGGCAAGGCGGGCAAGGGCGCCAACCAATCAAAATTATATGGTCGGCCCAAAACGCCCGTTGGCTGGGACTGGCTAGTTGGCGAAGAAAGCCAGTCCAGGTAACTTGAACTCATTACGCGAACAAAACTTGAAGCTAGTAAAAGTTTTCCATTTCTGCAAGGAAATGGTATTTCTTTATCACGGTCACGGGTTTTAGCCAGTAAGGCGTACACCGCTATAACGGGGTTGCCGCGCAGCTCTACCACGAGATTCAAATCGCGGTCCCAAATGTGGTCTCCTGACGAGCCGTAGACATTGTTGCTCGCCTTGCTATTGCATGCATAGATCTGGGCGCTCCGCGCCATTTGCGAACCACATGTCGCAGCTCTGCCGAGCCACGACCGTGTGCTCCTAAGCTAGCTATATCCATACTCCCTGCTGTTTGATGTTGCATCAGTTGTATTGTTTCCTCGTTAATCAATCATTCGACACACGCTCTTTGCGCTTCATTACACCTGGCCATCAGAACCAACGATCCTCAGCCGGGCGCACTAGTTCCATTGCAATACTGGCACTTAGGGAGGCTGACGCCCTGCGCTTACTGCATATCCGCTGTCCTGGTAATATTCATTGATAATTACCTACAGTCACGACTCTATTCGTAGTGCCAGCTCTCAAAACTAGAATTGAATGATCATAGAGTTAGAGAGTACATGCACATATACCTAAATGTTGTACCCTCTAGGTGGTTACCCTATACAATCTATACAAACATGATCAATAAACATGTTTGACACACCCCCTGGACTGCATAGGGGAATGTCCTAAACAAGCAGCTCGGGCGGCACTACTAGTCCAGCCTCTGAGACAAGGGTCTAAAAGACCAGTCAGAAGGAGTACAGACAAGACAAGAACAAGTACAGGGCGGCACTACTAGTCCAACCACTGTGAGAGGACACAAGTCCAGTCTGAGTGTACACATATATATAGGACAGTACAAAGTAAAGGCCCGAGTAAGTGAGGGACTACAGGAACCAGACCAAGCTGTACACAGTGCCGCTGATGATCTTTAGGCGCAAGCGCCTTCGTAAAGATATCAGCTGTGTTGGCACCGGAGGCCAAGTGTACAACGCGAGCCTGGCGACGCTGCTGGAGCTCGCGCAGGAGGAAGTACCGCAGCTGGATGTGCTTCGCTCTACCCTCGAGTCGAGGCTCCTGACACAGGAGGATCATGGCCCTGTTGTCAGCGTACAAGACCGGGGCAGAGCTAAGCCGCTCACCTAAGTCAGTGAGCAAGAAGGTCAGCCAGCGGAGCTCCTGTGCCGCCATGGCACCGGCGTAGATCTCAGCCTCACAGCTGGACTGGGCAACAGACGAGGAGCGGGTAGCTCTCCACGAGACAGCACCTGAGCCAAGGCTAAAGCAGTAGCCCTGGGAAGACCTGAGCGTCTCGGCGTCGTCTGCCCAAGAAGCGTCTGTGTGTCCAGTAAGGACCACTGGCCTGCGTCCGCCTAGCACTAACCCCATGCCCGATGTACTTGCAAGATAACGCAGAACCCTCTTAGCGGCAGACCAGTGCTGAGGTCGGTGTCTGCCTGTGGCCACGAAACGAGCCAGGATGCTGAGAGGGTGTGCGAGATCTGGGCGAGTGCAAGTCATCAGGTACATGAGGCAACCCACTAGCTCAGCGTAAGGACCACTGGGATCTACCGACTCCTCAGGAACTGGAGCGGAGAGTCTGTGGTCCAGAGGAAGAGGGGTGGGCTGTGCGGAGGAGAGCTGAAGGCCGAACCTCTGAAGGACCTGGCGCACCAAGTGTGACTGAGTCAGGGTGATGGTGCGCGCGGCTCTGTCCCTGGAGATCTGCAAGCCAAGGTAACGGCGCAGCTCTCCAAGGTCAGTGCAGGTGTGTCTCTTCAGCAGCTCTGCCTTCACGGAGGCCAGTGCGTCCCTGTCAGCTGTGGCAAAGACCAGGTCGTCTACGTAGACAAGGATGTAGAACGGAGTCGGGCCAGCACGAACGAAGAGCGAGGGGTCTGCAGAGGACGGAAAGAACTGCAGGTCAGCAAGGGTAGCACGCAGCGTGTCGTGCCACTCACGAGGCGCCTGGCGCAGGCCGTAGACTGGACGCCGCAGAAGCCACTGGGTCCCAGGGGGGAAAGTGCCAGTAAAGCCCTGAGGACGACGCAGGTAGACCTGCTCGTGAAGGCTGCCCTGAAGGAAGGCAGTGGAGAAGTCGAGGGAGTGAACCTCGTAGTCACGCTGAGCCGCTACGTGTAACAGAACCCGAAGAGTAGTCATCTTCGGCGTAGGAGCGAAAGTCTGAAAGAAGTCCACCCCCTCGCGCTGACTGAAGCCTCTAGCCACGTAGCGCGCCTTGAACACAGGCGGCTCTCCAGGAGGGCGCTTCACCTTGAAGAGCCAACGGCCATCGACCACGTTCACCCCTGGTGGGGGAACTGCGTTGACGAAGGTGCCGGTGGATCTCCAAGATGCCATCTCCTGTTCCATGGCAGCTATCCACTGAGAGGCCCAGAGTCCCGAAACCGCCTCAGCGTAAGTACGAGGGGTCGGGATGTCGAAAGCGTCTGGGTCACCCTCAGGGACTAGCAGCATGGAACAGAGATGGGGAGCAGCCTCGGATAGGAAAGCAAGCTCAAACTGGCGGTCCTCCAGGACGTCACTGCCGAGGGCAGGAGCACCCCCGACAGACGGAGGACAGGCAGGGTCGGAGACCAGAGCGGTAGCGTAGTCAAGGCGGCGGGTAGAGGCGAAGTCAGCGACCGCAGCGACAAGGGCGTCAAGACTCGACACTGGAACAGACGGGTCTGTAACCAGAGAGGCAAGGACCCGAGGAACAAGAGGACGAGCGGCACGAAAGTAGTCAGACAGAGGAGGAGACGCAACGACAAGAGAGGACGGAGGAGGAGACGGGAGGAGGGGAGGACGAGACACGTGGGACCGGAGCAACATAGGGTGAGAGCGCGGGACGGGGGAGACAGGACGAGCACGGGAGGGGCGGCGAGACCAGACGTGAGAGGGAGGCGTCGGGTCAGGAGACAGAGGAGGGGACACTGGTGGGGAACGAGGGGGAAAACGAGCCGGGGACGAGTCCGGCGGAGGGAACACGGGGCCGTAGACGGGAAGAGGAGGAGACGGCAGGTGAGGAACAGGCGCAGGGTCAGGGGACGGAAGGCCGAGCAGACGGAGGGCGGACACCGGCGGGGACTGCTGCTGCGGCGACACAACACCAACGCCAGGGCCACATGCTGCGCGACGGCTACCTCCCGAACCCTCCACACCGGCACCCCCAGAAGGGACACCCCCAGAGCACGAAACCCCGCCAGCACCGGTACCACCCCCAGGCCCGCCGGGACAAGCCACGACAGGAGCCCCGGGATGAGTACCCACCTCAACGCCAGCACCCCCAGAGTCCACAAACAGCGGCAGCGACGACTGCGGCGGCGGCTGCAGCGACGGCCGCGACGGCGGTGGCGGCGGAGACGACGGCTGCAACGGCGGCGGCGGTGGAGACGACGGCTGCAGCAGCTGCGGCGACGGCGGCTGCGGAGGCGGTGGAGGAGGAGACACCGGGGGAGGGACAGACGGCGAGGACTGCGCCGGAGGACTACCAGAGTCAGAAGACTCGTCGACCGGGACGACCGACGGGAGGGGGGTGACGTGAGACACACCAGAGGGGGCCGGACGGGGGGGCGGGGGGGGGGGAGGGGCAGGGACCACCGGGGAAGGAGGGACCAGGAACAGGGGGGGAGTAACCGGGGGACCACGGTGGGGGAAGCGGCGGTAGAAGGAGACGGACTCGTCAAAGGTGACGTCGCGAGAGTGAAAGAAGCGGTGAGACGGCGGGTGGTAGAAGTGCCAGTCGGACGCGTCAAGGGGGAAACCGAGGAAGACGCAGGGGAGGGTGCGGGCAGTGAGCTTGTCCGTGCCAGAGGCACGAACGTGAGCAAGGCAGCCCCAGACGTGGAACGCAGACGCGTCACCAGGGGACCCGGTCCACAGAAGGGTCGGCGAAACCGGCGGCCGCTGGGGGTGCGGCCACAGGTTAAGCTGGTGAGCGGCGTAGCGCACGGCGAACGGCCACAGAAAATGGGGTGCACCGGCGTGGATCATGGAGGTGCGAGCCACCTCCATGACCAAACCGATGCGTCGCTCAGCGACCCCATTCTGCTGCGGGGAGTCCGGCAGGGTAAACGTCTGGGTGATGCCCTCCGCACGACAGAAGCGACCAAGGACACCTGAGGCAAACTCGCCACCCCGGTCGGAGTGGAGGCGCAAGGCAGGGAGACCGCGGTGGACACGAGCAGAGACAAGCCAGGGGATGAGAACGTCAGGCACGTCGGCCTTCCGCTCCAGGGGAAAGACGGTGGTGTAGCGCGTGAAGTCGTCGACAAGCACTAGGAAGAAGCGCTCGCGACGCGGCCCATGGACCGGGGCTGGGCCCCAGACGTCCATGTGCAGAGTCTGCAGTGGTGCGGTGGTAGGGGGAAACGAGGAGGAGTGAGGGGCACGGCGGAGGCGGCCCTCGACACAAGGCGTGCACGGGGGGGCGGGGGAGGAGGGAAACTCGGGGAACGAACCGGGGAGACCAAGGACGAGACCGTGCTGGGACATGTGACGCAGGCGCGGGAGTGCAGGGTGACCAAGGCGGTGGTGCCAAAGGAGAGTCGGGTGAGTGAGGGACCGACAGGAGCACGCAGCAGC